AGCTTGGCACAGCCACAAACCAGCCCCTTTCCCCAGCACATCCCATTTATGGATAATGAAACATCTTTCCTGTTTATCCATAACAATAATAAGAATATTGGAATTACTTGGACAAGTTTTGGGGTTTTTTTTTTCTGGAAACCCCCCCAAAATCTCACGTTCCCAAGTAATTCCATGGGATCCCATGGGGTTCCTGCTTTAAGGACTGCCTCACCCCACACCTCCTTGAGCCCTGTCCAGCCAAGTTGCTGTATTATGACACAACTTGCTTTTTAGGGATCCCCCTCCACGTCTTGACCCTGCTGGCATTCGCACGTTTCCCTTGGCATCCCAAGGTCCGAGCACATGGACCTTGGCCTTTATTCCATTTTTAGCCATTTTCAGAGCTCCTTTTTCCCCTAGATATCCCTTCATTCCTGCAAGACATCAACACTAAACAAACCAGTGTGTTTAAAACCCCACAATCTCCTTTAAATTTCAGATATTCCTCAATTAAAAAGCCACTTGGACTTTCCTATCGCCGCTTGCTCCGTGATGAAAATTCCCAACACCTCCCAACCTGGAGAATATCCAACACTCGAGCTCCCAGAGTTGTAGATGATATTAAAAACAAGGTGGGAAGAAAGCTGCACATTTTTCATCCCCCAAAAGCATCTTCAGGCAGTGAGATGAACTGGAAGAGCCTCTGAACTCTCTGAGGAGGCAGGGATTGAGCTGAGGCTGGGTTTGGGCTCCCCAGAGGCTGCGTGGAACAAATCCCTTGGGATTTTCTCTGTGTCTCCAGCAGCTCCAGAGGCACAGGGAGAGATTCCTGGGGTGTGATTCCACCTTGGCTGAGGGTGGAGGTGTCACTGAGGCTGTGGGATATTCCCAAAAAGCCTCAGCTGGCTGTGAAACAGGTCAGTGACAGCACAGAATTGTGGATTTTATGGAATGGGCTGGGGGATAAGGGGCCTTGAAATGACCTCATTGCATCCCCTACCCCATGATCATTCCACACCTCCCACTGGCCCAGGTGCTCCAGCCTGGCCTGGGCACTTCCAGGGATCCAGGGGCAGCCCCAGCTTCTCTGGGAATTCCATCCCAGCCAGGGATTCCTCCCCAATATCCCATTTATCCACCCCTTGTCCCAAGTGCCTCTCCCTGCTGAAACACATCTGGGAGGTTCCCATACACAGTGGACACTGAAATTGTGTGTGAGCTTTAAAATTCACACACACACTTTCAATGTCTTCCATTTGGGAAAAAAAAACCCAAAAAACTGACTGGACATGGAGAAAGGTGCCTGGAAGTCCTTAAGAAAAGACAGCAAAGCAGAAATTGGGAAAACCCCCCCATTTCCAGGACACCTTTGGCTACAGCACCAGCCCCAGCTTTACACCACAATTCCTGGGATTCACCCCCTCCCAGAAAAGCTGGAAACCACTTCAGGAATCCCAGCCAGGCACTCTGGAGCAGGGTGGGAATCAGGGGTGTCTCTGACTTCCACCATCAGCTGCAAAAAGAGGGCACTGGATCCTGGCTGCTCCCAGCCCAGCAGCTTCCCAACATTTTGTCCATGATACACAAAATAATAATAACAACACATAGATAGAGAAAAATCCCAGTGGATTATTTGCTCTGGTGTCTAAATAGCAATATCTGGGGTTTTTAAAGGATTTGTCATGGATGCAACTGGACACAGCTCTGCTTCCCAGAGGATTTTACACCTTCTGGCAGGAAGAGTGGGGCAGGTGCACAAAATTCAACCAAAAAATAACCACAAAATTCAACCAAATATGACCAAAAATGCTCTGCAGGTTTCTTTTAAACACCCTGAGCTCCATCCACTGCAGCAGCACCATTCCCAACTGCCTGAATAATGTGGATTTTGTAGGATGTGGATCCATCAATCCCATGGATCCACCAGGTAATTCAAGCCCAATTTTGGGCTAATGCAGACAACCAGGCTCCCTAATCCCTCAGATTTCCAGCAGGACCTTCCCAAGTGCTCTTTGGAGAACAAAATTTGGACATTAATAGTCTCCATCACCATCAACTTCCTGCTAAAACTGCACTACAAAGAGCAATTCTTGCCTCAAAATTTGAGATATTAATAAAAAGGAACTCCTGACAAATCCCAAAATGAGAGATTTAAAAAGAAGCCATTCCTGACCTACCCCAAAAGCCAAGATTTGAATAAGAAAAGTTTCCTGAAGCACACAAAAATGGGAGATTTTACAAAAAGCAATTCATGGCCTATCCCAAAATTCAAGATTTTAATAAAAATCCATTCTTGACACACCCCAAAATTTGTGATTTTAATAATGAAGCTCCCCCAGTACAAGTTTTAGCCCAAAACTGTATTTCCTCTGACTAAACGTAATTACAGTTCAGGCATTGTGCAGGGCCCAGGAGATGTAAATATATAGGTTAAACATAGTTAAAATTCCACATCCTACTTAATTGCAGGCATTTTCCACGGAACAAAATGAGCTTTTATCTTCACTTTTTAATTATTAATAACCACGAACAATGTCACCACCTTTAAACAATAACCCTGCCCTGAGAAGGAGATATTTCTCCCCAAATTTCCACAGGCACTGGGGCAATAAGAAGCAATTTGGGGAGGATTTTGGGGCGATTTTGGAGCGAGCAGGCCCCGAACCTCCACCCTACCTGGACAGGGATTAATGACAGCAATGAGCAGGATTTTTGTGGGGTTGCCAAAGCCCTGAGAGGGACCAGCAGGATCCCTGACAGGGATTCCCAGGATCTGGAAGCCCCAGGAACAGGGAGAGCGCCTGGATCCGGCCGACTCAGCTGAATCATAATGGCTGCATTGCCATTACCTTTCCTGAACAAGGCCAACCTAAACACAGGCAGCTGCCTGGGATTTAGCAGGAGATTTACAGACAGCACCGGCCACTCAGGCTGCCTGGAGACCTACAAATCACCACAGCACATGCACGGCCCCGGGAACACCCCGGATCCCCCCCAAATCTGGGAGCACTTTGGGATTATTCCCATGAAAAAAAAAAACCCCTCCCACCGTGGAGCTTCCCCAAGCCCGAGGGGCCTCCACGCTCCGGCTGCCACCCGGATCCCCTTTCCCTGGGTTTGAGGTTATTAACATCAAACATGTGATCGGCCACATGACAGGCTAAAGGCTAAAAAGGAAAAAAAAAAAAAATAAATATATAAAGAAAGAAAGAAATAAAAACCCGCTTGGACACATCCAGAGGGGAAGGGAGAGATGGCAGCGTGGTGGGTACAGCTCCATGGCCGGGGATTACAACCATTCCTGGGAAATCTGCTGCTTTCCAGCGGCCCGGAATGATGGAAGCCATGGCGGGAGGAGGTTTAATAACGGGGTGATTGTGTAACTTGGAGCCTCCCGGCGAAAGTTGAGGCACCCAGTGCATGTTCCTGGTGCATGGGGACGAGGATGGCACCGGATCAATTAGGGCAGCGAAATGTGCATCCCCCCAGCCTCCTCCTCCCGATCCAGGAGTTTCTCCGCTAACGTATTTCTCTCCTCATTAACTGCTTCGGTGTCTTCTGCTCTTTCCAAAATAGTACCTACTATAACGGGGCCGCAGAGGGGGCCAGCTGGCACCCGCTGCAGGGCATCCAGACACGGAGCAGGGATTTGGGGGAGGAAAGACACGGGGGGCTGCCTGGATGAGGGCAGGGAGGGCTCTCATCCCCCCCGTTCCCCCAAATCCTCAGGGGAACCCCAGTTCCACCCCAAGCAGCCCAATCTGGGGGTGAGGATCTTAGGGGTGTGATGAGGCCCAGGCCAGGATGGGGATTCCCCCCCACAAAAGGGATGTCCCCTGCTGTCACCCCCCTCCTTGGCACCCCCAGCCAGGCAGCAGCGCTGTGCCCACGCTATGCCCCCATCCAACAGAATGGAGGGAGGGGGCTGCATCCTCTTGGACCGGGGGGGCTAAAAATGCCCCCCTCACCCCTCAGCACAGGCGCCCCCCACCAACCAGAGATGCCCCCCAGCTCCTCTGCAGAGGTTTCTGACTGAACAGGGGGTGTCCCCCCAGCCCGAGCCCCCCATCAGGGCTCCCCTTTATGGGGGCTGTCCCACTGGGCCCCCCCTCCAGCTGCTCCAGGCCTCCCCCTCCCCTCTCTCTTGGGGATGACCCCCCCAAACCACGCTCTCCCCATGATTTTCCAGCCTCCCCCCAATCTTCCCCCACTCGGGGGATGAACCCCCCCAAACCAGAGTCCTCCCTAACGGGGGTCACCCACCAGAGCACCCCCTCCTCACCGCTCCAGGCATCCCTGCCCCACAGCCCCCAGGGCCCTTCTTTACCGGGGGTGCCCCTCCAGAACCCCCCTCCCAAAATCACGGTGCCCTCGCCCTGCCTCGGTTCTCCCCCACCCTGGAGACCCCCCCTCAAACCAGGCTCCCCTCCATTAAAGGTTCCCCTCACCCAAACCAGGCTCCTCTCCATTAAAGGTTCCCCTCACCCAAACCAGGCTCCCCCTCCATTAAAGGTTCCCCTCACCCAAACCAGGCTCCCCCTCCCTTTCTCCGGGTTTCCCCAGCCGGGGGGGCTCCGCTAACCTGGGGACCCCCCCCAAACCAGGCATACCCTCATATTTCTGGGGAATATCCCCCTAAACCAGGCTGCCCCCCCCTCCCATACCACGCTCCCTCCCTCTCCTTTCTCCGGGCTCCTCCAACCTGGGGACCCCCAAAATGAGCCTCCCTCCCTTTCTCCGGGCTCCCCCACTTTGGAGAGGACCCCCTTTAACCACGCTCCCCCCTCAGCCTGGGATCCCCCCCATAAATCACGCTTCACCCCCCCCTTTCTCCGGCCTCCCCCAAACCAGGAGCCCCCCCACAAAGCAGGCAGATTCCCCTTCCCTTTCTCGGGGCTCCCCCAGCTTGGGGACCCCCTCAAACCTCGCTCGCCCCCCATTTCTCGCGGCCCCCCTCCGCCGAGCCCCCCCCCCCGCGCCCCCCGCGCAGGCAGGGGGCGCCCTCGCCGCCCCCTCACCCTTGACGATGCGCTCGGTGGTCGGCAGCTTGTTGTGGCCGCGCCCGGACATGGTGGCGGTGGCGGCGGCGGCACCGCTGCCCGCCGTGCCCCGCTCCGCTCCCCTCACCCGGAGCGGGGGCCGCGCGGGTGCTCCCGGCGGACCCGCTGGGCTGCCCCGGCGGCGGCTCCGCGGCGCTGCGCTCCCCCCGTCCCGCCCCCGCCGCCGCCGCCACACCGCCCTCCGCCCTCTGCCCCCCCCCCCCCCGCCCGCGCCTGCGCCACGCCCGCCCCGCCCCGCCCGCCATCTTGGAGGGGAAGGGGGCGTTGCTAAGCAACGGGGGGGCAACATGGCGGCGGCGCTGAGGGGGGAGCGCGGGAATGGCGCTGGGGGTGCTTGGGCAGCCTCGGGCACTGCCCTCGGGCACAGCTTCGATGGTGCGGGAGGGACTGTAAGGATCAGCCAGTGCCGCCCCTGCTGTGGGCAGGGAACCCTTCCACTATCCCACGGTGGCCTTGGACACTTCCAGGGATCCAGGGGCAGCCCCAGCTTCTCTGGGTATTTTATCCTATCCTCTCGCCATCCTCACAGCCAGGAATTCCTCCCCAGTATCCCATCCATCCCTGCCCTCCGGCAGTGGAAATCCATCCCTTGTCCCAAGTTTCTTCCTGAAACACATCCGGGAGGTTCCCACACAAAGCAGACACATTTCAGGGAGCGTCACACCAGGGGTGTAAAATTCCCACACACTTTTTCAGTGTCTTCCATTTGGGAAAAAAACCAGACTGGACATGGAGAAAGATGCCTGAAAGTCCTTAAGAAAGGACTTTCCTCCCCAGTATCCCATCCATCCCTGCCCTGTGGCACTGGGAGCCATTCCCTGTGTCCTGTCCCTCCATCCTTGTCCCCAGTCCCTCTGCAGCTCTCCTGGAGCCCCTTCAGGCTCTGGAATGGGCTCTGAGCTCTCCCTGGAACTTTCTCTTCTCCCTTGGGCACTTCCAGAGCTCCAGGGGCAGCCCCAGCTCCTCTGGGAATTCCATCCCAGCTCCTCCCCACACTCATTCCTTCCAAAAATCCCACCCCAGTCTCATTTTTCCCAGTTTGGAGCCATTCCCTGGGTCCTGTCCCTCCATCCCTTGTCCCCAGCCCCTCTGCAGCTCTCCTGGAGCCCCTTCAGGCTCTGGAAGGAGCTCTGAGCTCTCCCTGGAGCTTTCCCTTCCCCAGCTGAACACCCCCAGCTTTCCCAGCCTGGCTCCAGAGCTGATATTCCTTAGACAGAAAATTTCTGGGGGAAAGGCAAAACAGAAGATGGTCTGTGTCTACCACCTGAAGATGAAGGAGGACAAGGTTTAGATGGGATATTGGGAAGGAATTCCTGGCTGGGATGGAATTCCCAGAGCAGCTGTGGCTGCCCCTGGATCCCTGGAAGTGCCCAAGGCCAGGATGGAGCAACTTTGGATAATAAAAGTGCCATGGCAGGGGTGGCACTGGATGGGCTTTAACCAACCCAAACCATTCCAGGAATTCCATGACCCCATCCTGCAGCATTTTCTGAGGTAATAGCTTCCAGGCATTCAGCAGAAAAAAGGATTTTGCAGCAGAAAAGAGCCCCCCTGTGCTGATGAGCAGGAGCAAGTCCAATGCTCACTGTGACCTTCCTTGCTTAATAAAACATTATTTTTTGTTAATAAAACACCTCAGAATATCAAGATTTGGTTTCTTTAGCTGCAACAGGGTTTCTAAAAATTGAATTTGCTGCTCAGAGCTGGCTGGCGGGGGGGGAATGGTGTAGAAAAAGGCAAAAAAGGGAAAGTATAAAAGCAAAGTTTGCTTTTTTTTTTTGCTAATGGAGGGTAGGAAAACAAGGACACAAACACTGCCAGGAACCTGCCTAGTGTGAGCTGGGGACAAATCCAGCATCCCACACCCCCCAGCCAAACCACCGTCTGGAAATATATTTCAGAAAAATAATAATAAAAAAAAAAAAAAATATATATAAATAATTAAGGAAGGGTTTTTGGAGCCGCAAAGGCCGTGCCATGCGGGCAGGCTGGGGGTTGTCAGTGCCACCTTCTGTCAGCCGCGCCGCACTGCACAGCCAGGGAAATCCAGCTGGAAAAGCGGGATTGCATCACCCAGCCCGGCTCCAAGCCTTCCCCTTGGAAAAATCCTGAGCCAGCAGCGCTCCCACCCCTCCATTCCCCAGCAGCAGGGAGGATTTCACTGCCGAGCACGCCTGGCACCCTCCGTCATTACAGAATATATTTTATTTATGGAATTTTACAAATATCTGTACAATTCACGTGACATTTAAGTTAACGCTCTTTGTTTCTCTCCTACAACACCTGAGTTATAATTTGAAATACTGAGATGGAACTCGAGGGGAAGGAGACACGGATGAAAATCCACGAGGGGCTAAATTTGGGTGGGTTCCCATCCCTTTCCCACTGGCAGGTGCCAGCCTGCCCAGGGGGAACAGGAGCTCTCCCTCCTTGGTGGCAGGGCAGCCTCAATTCTCACCCCAATCCCAAATCTCTGGGTTCCCTGCCCAGGGGGAACAGGAGCTCTCCCTCCTTGGTGGCAGGGCAGCCTCAATTCTCACCCCAATCCCAAATCCTGGGTTCCCTGCCCAGGGGGAACAGGAGCTCTCCCTCCTTGGTGGCAGGGCAGCCTCAATTCTCACCCCATAATCCCAAATCTCTGGGTTCCCTGCCCAGGGGGAACAGGAGCTCTCCCTCCTTGGTGGCAGGGCAGCCTCAATTCTCACCCCAATCCCAAATCTCTGGGTTCCCTGCCCAGGGGGAACAGGAGCTCTCCCTCCTTGGTGGCAGGGCAGCCTCAATTCTCACCCCCTAATCCCAAATGTCCGGGCTGCAGATTCCTCAGGAAACAGGGATAAACTGGAAACAAGGAGACAGCAGAGTTGTGATTGCCACAGTGAATCCTGCCAGCTCTGAGGACACCAAGCCCTGCTCTCTGCCACCTCCCAGCTCCTGGGGACCTCCCAGGCACAGTCCAGAGGGGACAAACCCCCCATTGCCCCCTGTCCCCCCCCCAGGGAGGCTTTTCCAGCCGGGATGCAGCTCCTGTGCCCTGCCAGCCACATGGTGTTTTCCAAATGCTTCCTTGAGAGAGAGCAGAGGGCACCTGTGCCAGTGAAAGGACTCAGATTTTCCACATCCAGTCAGTCAGCTGGGGCTGCAGCTCTCTCAAGCAAGGAAAAAGAGTTTCCAATGCCCCTTTGGTCCTGGAACCTGCAGCACAGGGAATGCCTGCCAGGTGATGAATGACTGCCCCAGCCAGCACAGGCCACGCTGCTCTGCTCCAGTGGGAAAAGTGACTTTTGGTGACAATCCACAAGGGACACCACATGGGACAAAGCAGAGCCTGTCTCTCCTTGAGGGAATCACCCGAGGACTGTGTGGCACCTTCAGGTCATCCCAAAAAGGCTCCCTCCAGAACTGATATTTAGGTTTTGGGGTGCAGGACAAAGCCAAGAGCCAGGGGTGCTGAGGGGACAAATGGCCAGACTAGAAAAGCCACTGAGAGTGCAGGTGATGATCCATGAGGATCCTGGCAGTGCCAGAGGGCACGGGCTCGGTGACAGCTGTTGGGAGCTTAGGAGGAACATCACCCAGCTGGGAACTACAGGAATTCAGGGATTACAGAGATCCAGCCAGGGTACAACGCTGCCAGGGCCCTGTGTCTGAGATGGGCAGCAATAACACCTGGCACAGCCTCAGGTTTGCTTTCCTCAGAGGGCAAAGGGAAGGTGTGGGAGCCTCAGCTCCAGCACGGTGCCACCACCCTGTCACACCCCACACACCTGCACAGGTGGGCACTGAAGGAAGACACTTCACAAACACTTCACAAACACCTGCACCTCTCCTCCATCCCAATCCAGCACCAAACCATGAGGGATTCCCCTGAATCCACACGGCCACAAGCTTACACCAAGTACAGGACGAGGGGGAAAAAGGGGTGTGAGGGAACCTCAAGCAACACAGGTGGGGTGGACAACCTTATCAATATGATAATAAGTAATTCACCTAGTGAATCTGGAACGCCAGCCCGGAGGCAGAGCTGGGAAGTGCCTGGAACACCCTTCTCTGGCTACTCCCTAAGGCTGGGAACACGCAACCTAAAGAGGTTCACAGTCTGAGTTTTGCTTTTAAAAACACCCCCCACCCCACCCTGAACCTTAGCACTGTTTAAAAACTGGTGGCTGTTCCTGGGTGTCACCGTGAGCTTGGACACAGCCTGAGGAGAAATCCCTGGGCTGGAGCCTGCGGCCGGGCAGGGCTCTGCTCTCATCCCTTCTGAGCAGCCCTCACAGAGAAGGAGCTGGGCTTTCCCCTCATTCCAGCAGCATGGACTGAAGGGAGGGTCAGGGCATCCTGGCAGGCTTCTCCCAGCAGCCCAAGTGTCACTCCAACCCAGTTTGGTGTGCTCTGCCCTGAGCACTGACACCCAAAATGTGCTTTAAAACCCCTGCCCTCTTCACCCCACTCTTGCCAGGGCATTGTCCGGGCTGAAACGGAGCAAAAGCAGTGGGATGATGGTGACATCCTCCTCATCCTCAGCACAGCTCTGAGGGCTGGCTGTGGGGAACGCTCTGAGAAGGGTCTGTCCCTGTCTGTCCCCATCACACAGCCCCAGAGGGGTCAGGACAGCCTCATGTGCCATGGGAACGCTCCAAGCACCACGAGAGGAGCAGCACAGCTGGAGCAGCTCCTGTCTCCCCATTCCATCCTTCCTGGGAGAGGCGAGGAGAGGAGGGATATGACACTGGACAAAGTCAGGTCAGTCCTATGGGAAGGGGAATTCCACTCTCCTCAGCCTTAAACCAGAAAAAAAATCCATGGAATAGCTTTCAAAGCAATGTCTCTCCTGTAGTGTGACGTCAGTGCCCGCACAGGTACCGTTGTATGTTTGCAGCAGGAAAAGGAAAGGAAAAAAAAAAAAAAGAAAAAACCCTTCCCCCCCCCAAAAAAAAACACCATGGAAAAATTGGATCAGCGCTGCAGCTTGGGCTGGTCCTACCCTATCTGGATCTGCCCTGCATACATGGTGAGCAGCACCATGATGGTGAAGCCCGTGAGCAGCCCCGCGTTCTGGATGGCGAAGGTGATCAGGGCGCTGCCGTTCTGCTCATCCTCCCGGCTCACCTCGTTCATCTCAGGGAACTGCAGGGGGAAACATTGGGATGGCAGGGCTCAGTGACAGCCCCATTGCTCCTCAGCAAACACCCACCAGCCTCCCATCCTGGGGATTTCAGCCAAAGCAGAGAGATCTGCATGTGCCAAGGGGACAGAGCAAACCCCGCCAGGCCTGCAGGCTGAGAGCAAGCAGAGCTTTTGCTAGGAAAAAATCCCAGGGCTCAGGGTTCCAAGCTCAGGATTTGGGGCTCAGGATTTACCATGTCAGCCAGTGCTATGTACAGGAACATCCCTCCAGCCAGAGCAAAGATCCAGTTGGCAGAGAAGTGGCTGCCGGCCACGATGCCGAAGGCCAGGCCCACGTAGCAGCAGCAGGCAGAGATGAAGTTGAAGAAAAGTGCCTGGCGAATGGTCATCCCAGCATTCAGCAGGATCACAAAGTCCCCTGAGGGAGAAGAAGATGGGAGGATGAGGAAGGAAGGAAGGGCTGCCAGCAGCACTGGGACAGCACCGACTTGAACTCACAGAAACCCAGAATATCCTGAGCTGGAAGGGACACAAAGGATCAGAGTCCAACCCCTGGAGTGCAGAGAACACCCCAAACATCACAGCATGTGCCAGCTCAAGTGTGGGCTCCCTGTGGCTGCTGGCACTGGGCACTGACCATCACACTGCCCCTAAATTCGGCCATTCACACCCAAACCTGCCTCTCCTTCACTGACCATTCCACTACTCCTGAATTCAGACATTCACATCCAAACCTGCACCTCCTTCACTGACCATTCCACTATTTCTAAATTCAGACATTCACACCCAAACCTGCACCTCCTTCACTGACCATTCCACTACTCCTGAATTCAGACATTCACACCCAAACCTGCACCTCCTTCACTGACCATTCCACTATTTCTAAATTCAGACATTCACACCCAAACCTGCACCTCCTTCACTGACCATTCCACTACTCCTGAATTCAGACATTCACACCCAAACCTGCACCTCCTTCACTGACCATTCCACTACTCCTGAATTCAGACATTCACACCCAAACCTGCCTCTCCTTCACTGACCATTCCACTACTCCTGAATTCAGACATTCACACCCAAACCTGCCTCTCCTTCACTGACCATTCCACTATTTCTAAATTCAGACATTCACATCCAAACCCACTTCCCTCCTCATCTGCCCCTAAATTTGGACATTCACACCCAAACCCACCTCCCACTCACTGACCACAGCACTGTCCCTAAACCCATACACTCACACCCAAACCTGCCTCCCCTGCACTGACCTCTCCAAATTCAGACATTCCCACCCAAACCCTCCTCCCCTGCACTGAACTCTCCAAATTCAGACATTCCCACCCAAACCTGCTTCCCCTCCACTGACCACTCCAAATTCAGACATTCCCACCCAAACCCGCCTCCCCCCTCCAAAACCAACGAGGTGTTGAGGGTTTTTTTTTGTCTTCAGATGCCTCCATCTAAATTTAAATCTCAGACATCATATTACCTCGTTATTTTTAGAGCGGCGATTACTCAGAGCAGTTTACAGCCCTCCCTCTCCCCCCTCTCAGCAGCATCACTGTTTATTCCACCCCAAATCTGCCTTTCTGGATGGACAAAGGACAGACTCCAGAGCCAGCAGGAGCAGGGGCAGCCCCAAGGAGACACATACCCAGCTCGTGTGGGAACTCCTCACACAGGATGGCCACGGAGGTGCTGATCCCTTGGAAGACAGACACGGTGAAGGAGGCGCCGATGGCCAGGCCGTCGATGAAGTTGTGGAGGCCGTCACTGAGCGTGATCATCCAGGCCAGAGTCCCAATGTCCGAGTACCTCACCTCCTTCAGCCAGTAGCACGCGCTCTGGGAGGCCTGCAGGTCCTGCCACAGCACCCCAAAATGGGGATCAGCACCCAAATGGGGTCACTGATCCCTCCTCCAAATGGGAAAACCACCCCACTAATCATTAAACCAGCACAGCGGAGCTGTTCGGTCCTGTCACAGACATCTTTTATGAAAAATCCTTTCCTTAGGATTTTTCCTCCTGACAAGCTGAGAGGCCTCAGGAACAAAATGTAACCAATGGTTCTCTGCTGCTGTGGAATGCAACAGGTGCATCTGGGATTGGGCTCATGTGGTTGTTTCTAATTAATGGCCAATCACAGCCCAGCTGGCTCAGACAGAGAGTCTGAGCCACAAACCTTTGTTATCATTCTTTCCTATTCTATTCTTAGCCAGCCTTCTGATGAAATCCTTTCTTCTATTCTTTTAGTATAGTTTTAATGTAATATATATCATAAAATAATAAATCAGCCTTGTGAAACATGGAGTCAGATCCTCGTCTCTTCCCTCATCCTCGGACCCCTGACGGTCACAGGTCCCACCACACACAGAGAATTTGGGCTGCAGAACTGGTTTTAACTGACAGCTGGGATTTTGTCACAATGCCACAGGATGAGGCAATCACCTGGACAGAAAGGGAGCCCACCACAGCCTTGTCATCCCCAGGGGGGGGCTTGCACTCCAGGTCACTGGTGATGTGTGGGATCATGTGGTCCAGGTCCCCGTTCTGCAGCTTCTCCGTGACCCCCTCCTCCCGGTCCTTCTTGGAGGGCAGAGCCTCAGGGCCGTAGTGGCTGTGCCCATGGTGGTGCTGTGGGATCAGGGGATTCAGGGCTGTCAGTCATCCCGATATTCCTGCTCTTTCCCACCCTGCCATGCTGATATTCCTGTTCTTTCCTGTCCCACTACCCTGAAATTCCTGCTCTTTCCCACCCCACCATCCCATTATCCCTGCTTTTTCCAACCCAGCCATCCCATTATCCCTGATGTTTCCAACCCAGCCATCCCATTATCCCTGTGGTTTCCCACCCCACCATCCCAGTATCCTTGCTGTTTCCCACCCCACCATCCCATTATCCCTGCTTTTTCCAACCCAGCCATCCCATTATCCCTGATGTTTCCCACCCTACTATCCCAATATCCCTGCTGTTTCCTACCCCACCATCCTGAAATTCCTGCTGTTTCCCACCCTTCCATCCCGAAATTCCTGCTGTTTCTCACCCTTCCATCCCAAAATTCCTGCTGTTTCCCACCCCACCATCCCCTGCTCCACCTCACCTGGTCCTTCTGCTTCAGGAGCATCTTCAGGATCTTCTCTGTGAAGAAGAAGAGGTAGAAGCCCCCAAACACCACAGCAGATTTGGAAACGCAATAATCTTCCTGAGGGTTGAATCCAAACGCCTGCAGGCAGGAGGGGACCCAGGAGAGGATGAGGAGCAGGCCCTGGCAGTGTCCTTCATCTGCCTTTGCCCCTGGGGTGACACTGGAGGGGTGACACAGCTCTGAGCTCTCTCTGAGGAGCAGCTGCTTTGGGACAAGCTCAGGAAACACCTTTGTGCACCTTTAATCTCCCTCACTCCCTCCTCCAAGCCGGCTGTGCCCGAGGCATTGGATCCAGCACCTGCCCTGGGGCAGGGATGCCAAAACCGATTTGGGACCTACCTCCAGGGCTAGAAAAAGCCAGAAAAGGCAATAAAACAAACCAGGGATCTCCCTGGAGCCATTCCCTTCCAAACTCCAGCTCCGAGTGGCTTCCAGCCCTCCATACCTCGCTCTGGGCTCCCCTCCGGCGCCGCCTTCCCCTTCTCCAGCCAGCGAGCGCCCAGAGAGAGAGAAACAGCCCCAGAGAGAGAGAGAGAGAAAAGCACAGACCCGCCAGTCCTCTCCCTACCTCGGGAATGAGCTGGAAGAGGGCGTTGGAGTAGAGAGTTCCAATCGCCAGAGCTATGAAGTAGAGGAGCAGCCGCTTGTAAAATGTCTTCTTCATGAAGGGCACCACGCTGGCTCCCACCAGCGAGCACAGGGAGATGACGGAGACGCAGAGGAAACCGTAACCCCAGACTGGCAGAGCCAAACCCACCCCGGGAGACGGGAGACGGGAAGGGACGAGATCAACGTGGGGATGGGCAGGGGAGGAATCCACACCAGACAGCACAGAGAGAGGAGGGAGGGAGGGAGAGAAGAGGACATTCATTAGTGATTGTTGTTCATCTGGCGCCACCTCCAAAGGGCGAACCCGGCGCTCAGCGGCTTTGGGAATCTCAGCTGAGTTTTGGCAGCCAGGCCATGGCCCGGCCAGCCCCCAGCTCTGCTCCATGGGCCGTTCCCAAGCCACAGAGCTCCTGGGTCACCCCAGTACCTCGTACGCTTCAGCCCCATCCTGCAGCCAGTCCCTGCTGGGGTGCTGGCAGGGCTGGAGGGTACCTCTGGCATTTCAATTCCTGGCAGATCAGGAATTAGAGGTGCTTGGTTTTTATGTCCAGCAAATAAAAGTTGCAGTTCTGGAGCTGAAAAGCTTGGAAAAACATCCCACTGCCAGCACGGATGAGGCGTTCACTGCCTGGCAGCAAACAGGCAACACCAGGGGGAAAAACCCACTGGAATTTTAAGGTTGGATGTGCCAAATCCAGCTCATGCTCTGAGGAGGCACCTGGACCACATTCCAAAGGTTTCCAATCCGGGTGGATTTATTCAGCTCCAGAACTGCGCAATTACAACACAATTAATTTGCGATATTTCTGTTGGTCCCATCTGAGCACCAGGATACCTCATGGAAGGCAGAACCCTTGTGGGAACATTGGGCTGGGAAATCAGGTAGGGGAGGAAAAAAAAGGCAATTAAAGGATTTGTAAAAGTTGGCTGATTCCAGAGGAAGCCAGGCTGTTCTCTGTGTTTTTATATGGATATTTAATCATATTTTCATGGATAGTTCACATTTTTTTCCCCTCTGGCTCATGCCAGTACTGCTGCCACAAATGTGGCTCAGCACATCCCTCCAAGGGATAAACTCCTGGACACCCAGAGCAGGAGCAAACAGCTTCTCCCAGCACATTCCCACTCCTCAGACATGGCAGGGACGGAGGACACTGAGGGTTTCCTGGTGCTCAGAGGGGTGAGAAAAGCCCTGCACAGCCCCTTGAGCCAAGCCCTGAGCCTCGGGTGACGAGGGGTCGGATCGATTCGGCGGGGTGGAGGCAGAGAGGGCGCCCACGGAGCTGCCCCCGGAGACGGGAGAGAGGCAGGGACGTTCTACCGCACCTCTGGGATGAGCTGGAAGAGCGCGTTAGAGAGCAGCGTGCCGATGGAGAGCGCGATGAAAAACAGCAGCACCCGGCTGAAAAAGGCCTTCTGGGAGCACGGCACGATGAGGACTCCGAGCAGGGAGGCCACGTTAATCATGGACACACTGAGAAAACCAAAGCCCCACACTGCGGAACGAGAAGAAACGAGGGCCAGACATTACCAAGGCTCTCGGAGAGCCCGGACCCGGGCGGGTGGGAAAGGCTCCGGGGCAGCTCCCTGTGCTCTGGGTGCTCCAGCTGCGACAAAACCATCCTGGGTTTGCAGGGAAGGTGGGAATGAAGCCAGGGGGTTGCTTGGAAAAGGTTTTCCCCAGCCAGCCCCAGCGTGGGAGAAGCTGAGCTGTGCTCAGGGCCGCTGATCCAAGACCTTGGGCAGCGTTGGCACCGGGATGGGCGGGAGCTGGCTGAGCATCCACCGGCAGCTGGAGGCCAGCAGGTCCCTCCAGGTCACCCCCTCCCACCCAGGGGAAGCCACAGCAGAGTCCCCTCCTCATCCAGCTATCCTGGAGGCACAGAGGTTATCCCAGCAAAACCACACCACGGCACCATCCACAGCGAGGAAAACTCGGTCAGGATTGCCAGCTGCTGGAGGAGGGAACTCCCAGGAGTGGGAACTGGCTGTTCCTCATGTCCCCAAGCTCCAGAACCAGGCAGTGCCTGTAGCACCCCCCCCAGCACCCCAATTACCTTCAGCTGAGCTGGGCCTGCTCTCCTCTGTCTGCTCATTCTCCTCATTTTCCAGGTTTTCGGAGGCGCACGCCCTCGACTCCAGCTGCTGCAGGATGGTGGGGCAGAACTCCTTGAACTCGCTGTGCCCCACAGGGGAGCCCTCGCTCAGATTGTGGATGGCAAAAAGTTCCACAGAGCTGAAGCACTGCGGGAGGGAAGGGACAGAAATGTGCCTTGAGATCCCCACAGCTCCGCAGGGAGATTTCAGGAATCTGCAGGGAAGTTTTGGGGGCCCACAGGGAGGTTTTGGGAGTCGCCTCCTTACACGGGAGAGGTTCAGGCGCTGCTGAGGTGTTTGGGAGACATTGGCGTGTCCCACTCCCACATCCAGGCGGTTCAGCAGGGCCTTGAGCTCCTTCAGGCTCAAGGTCTGGCTCTCCCCATAGCGCTGGAGCAGATCCTGCAGGAAGGAGGCTGCCGAGACGCCGGGGCCGTCCCTGCCCGCCCGGACCTGCGGGCAGGGGAGGAGGCAGAGCAGCAGGAGCAGGCAGCAGCTCCGGGGGCCCACGCTGGGGATCATGGTGCCTCTGGGATGCTGGGAGAGAAACCACACTGCTGTTGGCTTTGGCATTCCCAGCGCTCCAACCACGGCTGCTCCACCCCACCGATGGATTTATCCTCAGGGAAAGGGGGAACATGATTTATCCTCAGGGGAAGGAGGTCTCAGCATTTTTCCACAATGTTTCCATGCAAAACCACCCCCTCCTCCTCCACCCTGAGCCACTCCAAGCCCCTCACTCACCATGGGGGGCTGCCAGCACACGGCTCCTGGGGGCTCTCCAGCTCCGCAGCACCTCGGGGACCCTGGGAAGAGCAGGATGGTCGGGAAGCAGGCAGGGCTGTGCCAAAACCCAGCTGTGCCAGCCCCAAATCAGCTCTGGAGGGGTGAGGAGTCACTCTCCAGCCCTGGCCACGCGTGGGTCCCCTTGGTGTCACCGAGGCTGGGACACAAACACCTCAATGCCAGCGCTCGGAGGGACACGGCAGCCCTGGGGACAGAGGTGGCCTGTTCATGAGGTTATAATTTAACCAGGATAATTACCATGAACCGAGTGAGCTTACCTGCTCTAACTGTAGGTGCCTTTATAGTGTTTGCCCAGAATCAATCCTTGCCCTCTCTGTCCCTTTCATATGTGCCGGGAATTGATAAAAGAGGGGTGGCACAGCCCCGGGGTGCAAAGGAAGGGGCGCAGGGAGAGGAGGGGACGCCAGGCACGACCTGCACGTCCACCCTGGGAGGCTCCCAGGAGCCTGGAGCTCAGGCTGCCTTCCTGGGAAAGCTTCCCTGAAAAGTGGATGGCAAATTTGGGATTGGCAAGGAGAAAATAAAAATCTGCTGCCTCCATCAATGGAGCAGCCATCCCAGTCCCAGTGTGGGGCTCCAGGTGCACCTCCTGATCCCCCTGGAGCTGCTCCCGGTGCTCCTGACCCAGCCCTGGACACCCCACAGTGCCTGGCCTGTGCTGACAGCTCACAGGCTCCAGTCTCTTCTAAAAACCAGGACGTTTTTGAGGCCCGGCCAAGCAATTGTTCCAAAAATAACCTGGGGCCAGGATTTCCATGCCAAGGGGCTGCAGGGAACCCGCAGGACCCCGCTCCCCATGCAGGACCCCACTGCCCCTGAAGGCTCCCACATTCCCACAGGTTTTACCAGCTTACCACCACTTTGTGAGCTTTGTTCTCCGGCAGCTTTTAGCCTTCTCCTGCCAGGGCTTAGCTTGGATGCTTTGACTTAACCCCTCTCCTCCCAAAACGAGGGAGGGAGCCCATCCAGAGTGGTGCTGCTGCTGGGAACACCCTGCTGGGTGGGGAGACCCGAGGGATCTCTGCCTCTTCAGCATCTCCCAGCGAGCCCAGACCCTTCCTCTGCCTCCCCATCCCAACCCACCCTTCCAGGTGAGTCCTCCTGGGCTCCGTGGGACATCCAGGCTCCCACAGGTGCTGGCACACAGCCCAACGTTCCAAAGGTTTGTCCCGGCTGGCCGCACGTCCTGCTCGCTGCCCTTTCCAGCCGGGTGCTCCACAAATCCCCGGTGCCACCGGGAGCCCTCCTGCTCCCTGCACACCGATGGAGCACACGAGTGCCAAAGCACGCAGCTCTCCCCGCTGCCAAAACCCCTCCCGGGGGTTTCTCCCAAAGCTGGGCTGAGCCGGATACATCCAGGCTGGAAAACCGGACCTCAACTTTCCCCCCGCTGCCAAAGGAAAGGCAGGAAGGGCAGAGCCGGGCACAGGCTGCACAGGCTCGCTCCGTTTTAGGACAAAACGAGGTGGAGGAGCCGCCCCTACGGAAGGGAAGGGCCCAAAGAGGCACATCCCGGGGGGCTCCGACCTGCTGCAATCCCGGGGCAAGGCAGGAGGGTGCCGAGCACACCCAGCCCAGCATCCCGGGACAAACACCAAAGAACACCGAGCCTCGCCATCCCCACCGCCAGCTGCGACCCCCGCGGAGCCCCCCGGCCTCCTGCCCGCTACCTTCAAGGGCGTTCTCGCTCCGGGATGCGCTCCGGGAGCCCGGAGCCAGCGCCTGACCTACTTTATCGGGCTGGGGCACGGACAGAGCGCTGCCACGCCAAGGGACGGCTGCCCGGGAGGGATGTGCCCGGGAGCGATGCCACGACAGCAGCACGCAGCTCCCGAGGCCGGGCAGACCCTGCCCATCTCGCCGGGCTGCATTTCCCGGAGCTCAGCGGTCCCGGCCGCAATCCGCACATCCCCGAAGGTGAGGCCGGGAATGGGAACCGCTGGCACAGCCGAGCATGACCCCGGCGACGTCAGCCCCGAAATCCCGCGCGGGGATTGCCGCAAACCGGGAGGGGACAGGGCCAGCGGGACCCCGAATTCCAGCCCCGGAGCCATCGCGCTCCTGTGGGGGCGGCCGGAGCCCGCGGGGCCTTCCGGAGCAATCGCGCTCCACGTGTCCTGCGGCAAGGAGGGCTCCAGGAGCCGGAGGTTTTCCGTGCCCTGCGGCTGTCCCGGGGCTGGCAGCGGACCCGTTCCTGGGTCACCGACACCCTGGAGCCTCCGGACGGAGTCCTGTCCTTTCCTTGCCCGTGATCCCAGCCCGGGGCGGGCAGAGGGGCAGCGGAACCGGGATATCCCCCGGGCATCGCACCCCACAGGGACCCCCCCAGTCCTGCCCAGTGCCCCCCGGGCCGGAGCAGCTGCTGCCGCACGCTCCCTGCGCCATCCCATCCCTCTCCCCATCCCACCGCCGCTGCGTGGTCCCAGAGCTTGCACTGGTGGTGCCAGACCCCATAACTGGGGCCTGCACCCCAAAATTGAGTCCTGCACCCCATAACAGGGTCCTGCACCTCCGACCCCTCCTCCACCTGCACCCTCCTCTGCCCCAGACCTCACGGCCTGTCCCAAAACGAGCTCCCATGGCTGCCCCAAGGACAGGCCCCAAACCCTAAACAGCCGCTCCCTGCATCCTTCATCCCTCCCTGCATCCCCCATCCCCATCCGGGGCTCGGGGCCGGCCCCAGCCCGTTCCCCCCGCTCCGCTGCCTCCCTCTCCGCGGGGCCCGTCCCCGCAGCCGGTTTCCCATCGCACGGCAGGGCTGCTGTGCCTGTCCCGTGTCTGTCCCGTGCCTGTCCCGTGCCTGTCCCGGTCCATCCCGGTCCTACCTCCGCTCCTGCTCCCGCCGCCGCCGCTCGGGGCCGCGCAGCGCGCACGCGCGGCCGCCGGCACGGGGAGCGCTCCCATTGGCTGCCGCCGCCCCCGGCCACGCCCCCTCCGCCTCAGGCCCCGCTCCCTCAGCGGCGCAGCGCCGGGACCCCAAAAATCCCACCCGGGACCCCAAAAATCTCACCCAGAAACCCAAAAACCTCACCCGGGACTCCAAAAATCCCACCCACGAACCCCCAAAAATGTCACCCAGGACTCCAAAAATCCCACCCAGGAACCCCCAAAAACCCAACCCAGGACCCCCTAAAAATCCCACCCAGGAACCCCCAAAAAATCTCACCCAGGAACCCCTAAAAATCCCACCCGGGAACCCCAAAAATCTCACCCAGGACCCCCAAAAATCCCACCCGGGACCCTCCAAAAATCTCACCTGGGACCCCACAAACCTCATCCAGGACCCCAAAAATCCCACCCGGGATCCCCCAAAAATCCCACCCAGGAACTCCCAAAAATCTCACCTGGGACCCCCTAAAAAAATCCTACCCAGAACCCCCAAAAATCTTACCCAGGATCCCCAATATTTTCACTCAGAACCCCCTAAAAAATCCCTCCAAGGACCCCAAAAATCCCATCCGGGAACCCCCAAAAACCTCACCCAAGAACTCCCAAAAATCTCATCCAGGACCCCAAAAATCCCACCCACGAACCCCCAAAAATCTCACCCAGGACCCCAAAAATCCCACTCAGGAACTCCCAAAAATCTCACCCAGAACCCCCAAAAATCTTACCCAGGATCCCCAAAATTTTCACCCAGAACCCCCTAAATATCCCACCAGAGAACCCCCAAAAATCTCAGCCAGGACCCCTGAAAAAAATCCCACTTGGGAACCCCAAAACCCTGTCTGGGACTCCTTAAAAAATCCCACCTGGGCACCTCAAAAATCCCACCTGCAACCCCCTAAAAAATCCCACCTGGGAGCTCCCAAAAACCCCATCTGGGACTCCCCAGAAATCTCACCCGGGGCCCCCTAAAAAACCCCGCTCAGGAACCCCAAAATCCCATCCGGGACCCCCTAAAAATTCCCACCCGAGATCCCCAAGCTGCTCCAACACCCCTCTCTGTGGCACTGGGACCCCCAAACACACCCCAGGAGCACCAAGACCCCTATAAATCCCACCTGGGACCCCCCAGACTGCCCCAAAACATGCCCTGGGATCACCCCAAAACACCCACGCTGGGGCACCGGGACCCCCAAACACACCCCAGGAGCATTGGGACCCCCCAAAAACCCATCTGGGACCCCTGGACACCCACCCTAAGGGCAACAAGACCCCCCAACATCCCCCTGGGGGCACCTCAGACACCCTTTAGGGGCACAGGGCACCCCAAGGACCCTCCAAACACCCCTTGGGATCCCCCCTCGAGCCCTTCCCGAGGGGTCCCAGCACCAAAGATCCCCTGGGGTGGGGCTGGGGGACCCCAAGGACCCCCTGGGAAAGCCCAGGGGGGACAAATCCAGGCAGGCAGAGCCATCCTGGCTCCTCTCCCTGTGCCGAGGAGCCGGCAGGGACAAGGAAAAGGCAGAGCTGGGATAGAAAATGCTGCTGGATGGGGTCAGGCAGAGCTGGGGGACCCCCAAAACCCCAGCCCAGCACCCCCAGGGCCAAGATTTGTTCCTAAATCCCACCCCAGGCTGGGCTACGCTGCCAAAGTCCGTGGGGATCAGCAAATAAAACAGGGGTAAATGATTAACCCGGGGGCACAGGGTGACAGCCCCGGTGGCACCGCTGCTGTGACTCCCCCCGAGTGTCCCTGCTCCATCCCTGCATCCCCCAAAAAATGAGGGGCAGGATGTGGTCACCAGCACCCCCCCAAAAATCCACGAGGGGAGCAGCTGCCAGCAACGATTTTATTGGAAAGAACCAAAAAACTGGTTACAGGGAAGAGAAAAGGAGGGGATTCCAACTTAAAAAAAAGCACCTAAAATAGGTGAAAACTCCAACCTTTCCCTGGGGTAACAACCCGAATCCACAAAGAATTCTCCTTGGAAAACCAGTGACTCCTCAAGGACGGGAGAACCGGCCAAACTGGAGCTTTGGTTTGTTTAACAGCAGCTTGGAAAAGCCCAGGAAAAAAAAACAAAACAACAAAACCAAACTTTAAACCTGCATGGAAATGCAAGAAACTGGGGGGGAAAAAAGCCCTGAAATCTTTGGGATTTACATCCAGCACCTGCACAGGGATGAGCTGTGGGAGCAGCAGCACTTTTGGGGCTCTTTAACTCAACCCCCTTTACTGGGAGGGCTAGAAACCAGCAGGATATTCCTTTGGGGTCATCCCCATGGGGATAATTCCCAAATTAAAACCCCACAGCCCTGGGATGCTGCTGCAACCAACAAAGAATAAATTAACACCAGAACAGGGAATTGAGGAAGATCCTCCTTGGCAAAGGGGGGCAAACAGCAGCGGGAATTCCAGGTGCAATCCCATTTTTCCGGTGCAATCCCGGATTTCCCGGTGCAATCCCGGATTTCCCGGTGCAATCCCGGATTCCTGGGTCCTGGCAGGTTAAAGGAAGAAGAGCTGCTCGCAGAGGTGGGCGCTGGGCTCGTGGTGCAGGACCTGCCCCACCAGGAATGCCAACTTGTGGGCGTACTTGCAGGGGGCAGGCACACGGACGGTGCCCGGCCAGTTCCAGTACAGGTGACACAGCTTGAAGGTCAACCTGGGGACAGGGAGAAACGGGATTTGGGATTCCTGGAAAAGGTCCAGATCCCTCCCAGAACCTGCTCCCAGCTATCCCAGAAATGGGATTTGGGATTCCTGGAAATGGAGATGGAGCCAGGTCCAGATCCCTCCCATAAACTGCTCCCAGCTGTCCCAGAAATGGGATTTGGGATTCCTGAAAAAGGGGATGGAGCCAGGTTCAGGTCCCTCCTAGAACCTGCTTCCAGCTGTCCCAGAAATGGAATTTGGGATTCCTGAAAAAGGGGATGGAGCCAGGTCCAGATCCCTCCCGGAACAGGGAGAAATGGGATTTGGGGAAAAGGGGATGAAGCCAGGTCCCTCCTAGAACCTGCTCCCAGCTGTCCCAGAAATGGGATTTGGGATTCCTGGGAAATGGATGGATCCTGCCCAGAAACCTGCTCCCAGCTGTCCCTTGTCCTTGGGACAGGGAGGGAATTGGGATTCCTGGGAATGGGGACAGATTCAGGTTCAGATCCCTCCCAGAACCTGCTCCCAGCTACCCCAGAAATGGGATTTGGAATTTCCAGGAAAGGGGATGAATCCAGGTTCAGATCCCTCCTGGAACTTGCTCTCAGCTGTTCCCTGTCCTTGGGACAGGGAGAAATGGGATTTGGAGGGTCTCTCTCACTCCCTACGGAGGATTTTGGGGGGCTGTAGGATACTGGGGTGGCTCTGGGACTCCTGCCCTTTTCCCTGGATGATTTTGAGGGTCCCTCCTCTTCCCTCTGGAGTAGTCTGGGATGCTGCAGGATCTCAGGAACTCCTGCATTTCCCCTGGATGATTTTGAGGGTCTCCTCCACTCCCCAGGGAGGATTTTGAGGTGCTGCAGGATCTCAGGAACTCTGGGACTCCTGCCCTTTTCCCTGGATGATTTTGAGGGTCCCTCCCCTTCTCCAGGGAGGATTTTGGGGGACTGTGGGATATTGGGGGGCTCTGGGACTCCTGCCCTTTCCCCAGGATGATTTTGAGGGTCCCTCCCCTTCCGTGTGTAATATTTTGGGGTGCTGTAGGATCTCAGGAACTCTGGGACTCCTGGATGATTTTAAGGGTCTCCCCCATTGCCCAGGGAGGATTTTGGGAGTCTCTCCACTCCCCAGAGAAGATTTTTGGGTGCTGCAGGATCTCAGGAACCCCATGACTCCTGCCCTTTTCCCTGGATGATTTTTAGGGTCTCCTCCACTCCTCAGGAGGATTTTGGGGTGCTGCAGGATCTCAGAAACCCCGTGACTCCTGCATTTCCCCTGGATGATTTTGAGGGTCTCCTCCACTCTCCAGGGAGGATTTTGGGGTGCTGCAGGATCTCAGGAACTCTGGGACTCCTGCCCTTTCCCCAGGATGATTTTGAGGGTCCCTCCCCTTCCCTCTGCAATACTTTGGGGTGCTGCAGGATCTCAGAAACCCCGTGACTCCTGCATTTCCTCTGGATGATTTCAAGGGTCTCCCCCACTCCCCAGGGAGGATTTTGGGGTGCCAGGGCCCCCCTTACCTCTGGAGGTGCTCGGAGCTGAGGTTGGCCGTGTTCCACATGCAGATGTAGCGCGTGGGAATGCTGCAGCCCTGCCGGGAGTGATGGGCCAGCAGGAAGAAATCCTCCCTGCAAGGGCAAAACAAACCCCAATTCTCTTTTTTTTTCCACCCCAAAATGAGGATTTTTACACCTCAGGGTGCTCTGAAGCCCAGACTGAGCTGTTTTTTACACCTCAGAACGGTGGTTTTGAACCACAAGGGTTCAATTTTTGCACTCCACAGGATTTTTTTTGCACCCTGGATTGTTTTTGCCACCATTTTTCTTACACTCTGGTTATTTTTTTTTTATGCACCCTGGGGTGCAAAATAAAAATTTTTAACCATTTATAACAATTTTTTTTCACTCAAGCTGTTTGTATACCCCAGAGTGCCTTATTTTGTAAAAACAATAAATGATAAAACACCTCATGGTATTTTTCCAACCATTTTCTTGCAAACTGAGGGGCTTTTACACACCATTTACACCTTGGGCTGGATTTTTTCCAACACCTTGGGCTATTTTTACAATTTCTCACCTTGGGAATTTTTTTGCACTCAGGTTTTTTTTTTTGCACCCTGGGCTATTTTTACAACCATTTTTTTTGCACCTTGGGGTGCTTTTACAGCCATTTTTTCACATTCAGGGTGGATTTTTTTCCACCCTGGGGCATTTTCATCTCCATTTTTTTTTACACCCAGGTTAATTTTTTTCCCCTGGGGGTGTTTTTTACCCCTCCCCAGGGTGGTTTTTACCCCAGCCCCAGCTCTGCCTCTCACCTGCCCGAGCTGGTGACACCGTGGTCGATGACGGTGCCCAGGGGAGGGGACACAAACTCCTCTCCTGCCAGGCAGTAGAAGTTGGTGCTCAGCTGCTTCTGTACCACCATGACCACGAGGCTGGGCTGGTAATTTTGGAAGGTGTGGAAGCTCTTCTGGAGCTGGGGCACCTCGTACTTGAGCACCGTGTCCAGCTGGGGGTCAGAGACCCCATCCCGGTACACCACGATCTTCATGGGCAGGGAATGGTTCAGCTGGGGGGAAATGGACCAAATCAGCTCCTTTTTTCCTCCCTACCATGCACAGGATTAGCTGAGGGAAGTGGGGAAATATTCCCTGGGCAGGAGAAGTCTGGGTGTTGGGACAGAGCTGGGAATTTAATGAGTCCCCACAGGAATGCAGCTCGGGGTGGGTTTGGGGAGGGATGTGTTTGAATTAATCACAGAATTCCAGACTGATTTGGGTGGGAAGGAGCCTTAAAATCATCTCAATTCCATGCTCTGCCATGGGCAGGACACCTTCCACTATCCCAGGGTGCTCTGAGCTGGCCTTGGACACTTCCAGGGATCCAGGGGAAGCCACAGCTGCTCTGGGAATTCCATCCCAGCCAGGAATTCCTTCCCATCTCCCATCCATCCCTGTCCCTCCAGGCCCTCCTGCCCAGCACATTCCCAGTGTCCCAGGGCTGTTCCTGCAGCATCCACAGAGAGATGGGGAAATAAAATCGAAGAATCCTGGAATGGTTTGGGCTGGAAGGGACCTTAAAGCCCATCCCATCCCATCCCATCCCATCCCATCCCTGCCATGGCAGGGAACCTTCCACCACCCCAGGTTGCTCCAAGGAGGCCTTGGACACTTCCAGGGCAGCCACAGCTCCCCTGGGAATTCCATCCCAGCCAGGAATTCCTTCCCCATCTCCCATCCCCTGCCCTCTGGCTGTGGGAAGCCATTCCCTGTCCTTCCAGCCCCTCCTGCCCAGCACATTCTCAGTGTCCAGGGCTGTTCCTGCAGCATCCACAGAGAGATGGGGAAATAAAATCAAAGAATCCTGGAATGGTTCAGGCTGGAAGGGACCTTAAAGCCCATCCCTGCCATGGCAGGGAACCTCCCACCATCCCAGGGTGCTCCAAGGAGGCCTTGGACACTTGCAGGGATGAGGCTTCTCTGGGAAATCCCAAGAGCAAGGATTTTCCCTGGCCCTTGCCCTGTCCCAGGCTGGGGACAAGGGACAGCCCCTGGGAGCTGTAACGTGGCACTTCCCCCTGAGCAAAGCCACGTCCCCAGATAAGGATGAGCTGGCCCAGCTCCACGTGCAGTCCAAAGGCTGCGAGGAAGGTTTGCTCCTCTGCACGTCTCCAGGCTGGAAGTTTGGGAGGTTTTCCCTTGGTTTTGGGGGAATGTGGAGCCACAGGAGGGGGTTTTGGGCGGTCTCACCTCATAGAAGCGCTTGAGGGCTTGGGAGAGGCAGAGCCGGAGGCTGTCGGCGATTTCCTGGTGGGGCATCTGGAAAACCACCCTGGAGTACCACTTGGTGAGGATGCTGGGGATGGAAAAGGGGAATGAGCAGCCTGGAGGAGCCCCCACAGCACCAGGCAAAGCCCACTGAGCTCCTGTGCAACCCCAAACCAGCCCTGGATCAGCACTGCCAGCCCTTCCCCAGCGCTGGGGGACACCTGGCTGAGCACAGCAGCTCGAGCAGAGCAGCACCCTCACCCCCCTTCCTGGCCAAGGAAAGGGGAATTTGGGGTGGGACATCCCAAAATTGCCAGGGCAGGGAAGGAAAACTTCCCCTCTTTCCTAGGAAGCCACGTACTGGTTCATGCTGGCCACAAAGCCGATGACAGAGCGCATGCCCTGGCTCCTGCTGTGGTGGATGTCCATGCCCACGACCATCAGCTGCTTCTGCAGAGGGGAAGAAAATGGGATTTAGGGATAATGGCCATGGCTACAACCAGCAGCTGCTTCTGGAGGGGGGAACAGAGGTGGGATTTAGGGATAATGGCCATGGCCATGACCATCAGCTGCTTCTGGAGGGGGAAGATGGGATTTAGGGATAATGGAGCAGGGAAAAGCAGGTGGGATTTAGGGACAATGTTCATGCCCACGACTGTGAACTGCTTCTGGAGAGGGCAACAGAGGTGGGATTTAGGGTCAATGGAGCAGGGAACGGCAGGTGGGATTTAGGGATAATGGCCATGGCTACAACCAGCAGCTGCTTCTGGAGGGGGAAGATGGGATTTAGGGATAATGGCCATGGCCATGACCATCAGCTGCTTCTGGAGAGGGGAACAGAGGTGGGATTTAGGGATAATGGAGCAGGGAAAGGCAGGTGGGATTTAGGGATAATGTCCATGCCAGCAACCACCAGCTGTTTCTGAAGAGGGGAAGAAGATGGGATTTAGGGATAATGGCCATGCCCATGACCATCAGCTGCTTCTGGAGAGGGGAACAGAGGTGGGAATTAGGGATAATGGCCATGGCCATGACCATCAGCTGCTTCTGGAGAGGGGAACAGAGGTGGGAATTAGGGATAATGGCCCTGCCCACAACTGTGAACTGCTTCTAGAGAGAGGATTTAGGGTCAATGGAGCAGGGAAAGGCAGGTGGGATTCAGGGATAATGTCCATGCCCAAAACTCTGAGCTGTTTTTTGGCAAGGGGAAAAAAGGTGGGATTTAGGGATAATGTCCATGCCTACAACATTCAGCTCCTTCTGGAAAGGGGGAAGGCAGATGGGATTTAGGGATAACAGAGGGTACAGGGGCAGGTGGGATTTAGGGATAATGGAGGGTACAGGGGCAGGTGGGATTTAGGGATAATGGAGGGTACAGGGGCAGGTGGGATTTAGGGATAATGGAGGGTACAGGGGCAGGTAGGATTTAGGGGCAATGTCCCTGCCAACAAAAGGCAGGTGGGATTTAGGGATAATATCCATGCCAACAACCCTCAGCTGCTTCTGGAAGGGGGAAAAACAGCCAGGTGGGATTTAGGGATCAATCAGGCACCTCCAAGCTTGGATCCCTCCAGCTCCAAGGGACTCATGAGCGCCCAAGAGAAGCCAAGCCCGATTCTCCAGCTGGTTCATCCAGCCCACAATAATCCAACAATAATCCAACAACAATCCAACAACAATCCAACAACAATCCAACAACAATCCAACAACAATCCAACAACAATCCAACAACAATCCAACCCCTCTAGAGCTTCCAGGCTCATCCCAGGCCTCTGGCCAGGGTGTTCCTGCCTTACCAGAGGGATATCAACCCCCCAGAGCTGCCCGCCCAGCTTGCAGTTGATCTGCAGCAGAACTTTCTGCACCACGCTCCTGATCTTGCCAGGATGGCCCACGAGGGACTGGGCATTGATGACCTGTGGAGAGGGAAAACTCAGGGAAAAGTGAGGCTGGAGACAGGCAGGGATGGCCAGGGATGGGGGTCCCAGCCCACCTGGGAGGGCACAGGGCTCTGCACACAGCAAAGCTTCTTGATGGCCCCATAGACGTCGTCCCGGCCACCAGGGATGATGCACAGGAGCAGCTGCACCTTGTCCTGAGGGGAATCATGGAATTGTTCAGGTTGGAAAAGCCCTCCTGGAGCACTGAGCCAAACCCAAGGTCACCAGTGACCCACGTCCCCAAGTGCCACATCCACACCTCCAGGGACGGGGACTCCACTGCCTCCCTGGGCAGCCCATTCCTGGATTTAACCCCCGTTCCATGAAAGGAAATTTAACCACTTTTCCTGTATTTAACCCCCCTTTCCCTGAAAGGAAATGTAACCACCTTTCCTGTATTTAACCCCCCCCTTCCCTGAAAGGAAATTTAACCACTTTTCCTGGATTTAACCCCCCTTTTCCCTGAAAGGAAATTTAACCACTTTTCCTGGATTTAACCCCCCTTTCCACAAAAAGGGGGTTAAATTTCCCACAAAAGGAAATTTAACCACCTTTCCTGGATTTCACTCCCCTTTTCCATGAAAGGAAATTTAACCACTTTTCCTGTATTTAACCCCCCCTTCCCTGAAAGGAAATTTAACCACTTTTCCTGTATTTAACCCCCCTTTCCATGAAAGGAAATTTATACACTTTTCCTGGATTTAACCCCCCTTTCCATGAAACACTTTTCCTGTATTTAACCCCCTTTCCACAAAAGGAAATTTAACCACTTTTCCTGTATTTAACCCCCCTTCCATGAAGGGAAATTTAACCACTTTTCCTGTATTTAACCCCCCTTCCATGAAAGGAAATTTAACCACTTTTCCTGTATTTAACCCCCCTTCCATGAAGGGAAATTTAACCACTTTTCCTGTATTTAACCCCTCTTTCCATGAAAGGAAAATTTAACCACTTTTCCTGTATTTAACCCCCCTTTCCCTGAAAAAATTCCTCCTGGAGTCCAACCTGAGCCTCCCCAGGCACAGCTTGGGGCTGTTCCCTCTCGTCCTGTCCTTTGTTCCCAACCCCACCTGACTTCACACCCCTGTCATGGGTTTTTAGGGAAAAACAAGGTCCCTCTGAGCCTCTTCTTCTGCAGGCTGAGCTTCCCTCCAGTGCTTCCCAAAGATCCCCCAGGGATGTCCCTGCTCCTTGTGACTTCCCAAGGAGCTCTGGATGCTCTGGGCTCCCATCCTACCCTCCCAAAGATCCCCCAGGGATGTCCCCACTCCCCACCTGGCATCCCAAGGAGCTCTGAATGGTCCAGGCTGCCATCCCACCTTCCCAAAGATCCCCCAGGGATGTCCCTGATCCTTGTGACTTCCCAAGGAGCTCTGGATGCTCTGGGCTCCCATCCCACCTTCCCAAAGATCTCCCTGCTCCTCACCTGGCTTCCTAAAGAGCTCTGGATGGCCCTGATGGGGGCTCCCCTCCCACCTTCTCAATGATCTCCACTCCTCACCTGGCTCCCCAAGGAGCTCTGGATGCTCTGGGCTCCCATCCCACCTTCCCAAAGATCTCCTTGGTCCTCACCTGGCTTCCTAAAGAACTCTGGATGGTCTAGGCTCCCATCCCAGCCCCCCAAACATCTCCAGGGATGTCCCTGCTCCTCACCTGTCTTCCCAAGGAGCTCTGGATGCTCTGGACTCCCATCCCACCCTCCCAGTGATCCCCCAGGGCTGTCCCTGCTCCTCACCTGGCTCCCCAAGGAGCTTTGGATGCTCTAGGCTCCCATCCCAGCCCCCCAAACATCTCCCTGCTCCTCACCTGGCTCCCCAGGGAGCTCTGGATGCTCTGGGCTCCCATCCCACCTTCCCAAAGATGCCCCAGGGCTGCCCCTGCTCCTCACCTGGCTCCCCAGGGAGCTCTGGATGGTCTGGGCTCCCATCCCACCCTCCCAGTGATCCCCCAGGGCTGTCCCTGCTCCTCACCTGGCTCCCCAGGGAGCTCTGGATGGTCTGGGCTCCCATCCCACCTTCCCAAAGATCTCCCTGCTCCTCACCTGGCTCCCCAGGGAGCTCTGGATGGTCTGGACTCCCATCCCACCCTCCCAGTGATCCCCCAGGGCTGTCCCTGCTCCTCACCTGGCTCCCCAGGGAGCTCTGGATGGCCCTCACGTAGGTCTCGATGCGATCATCCCGCAGCTCCTGCACCGAGGGCTGTCCCACCTGCATCCCCATGGCCCCACAGCTGCTCCTCATGGATGCCAGCAGGTCCTTGGCCAGGTGCTGCAGCCTCTTGGGATAGATCAGGAGCCAGGAATTGATGGAGATCTGGGAGAAAAGCCAGTACAGGCCGTGGTTTGGGGCTGTTTCTGCAATCCAATCCATGCAGCACGTTCCTGTTTGGGAGAGGAGAAACCTACCAAGCACAGAGGGAAATTTGGGAGAGGAAAAGTGGGCCTAGAGGAACCTGGAGCACAGCAGGGAGTTTGAGAGAGGGAAATTTGGGAGAGGGAATTCAGGCCAAGAGGAACCTGCAGCACAGAGGGGAATTTGGGAAAGTGGCCCAAGAGAAATCTGCAGCACAAAGGGGAATTTGGGAGAGGGAATTTGGCCCAAGACGAACCTGCAGCACAGAGAGGAATTTGGGAGAGGGAATTTGGCCCAAGACGAACCTGCAGCACAGAGAGGAATTTGGGAGAGGGAAAGTGGCCCAAGAGAAATCTGCAGCACAGAGGGGATTTGGGAGAGGGAATTTGGCCCAAGATGAACCTGCAGCACAGAGGGGATTTGGGAGAGGGAATTTGGCCCAAGAGGAACCAGCAGCACAGAGGGGATTTGGGAAAAGGGAAGTGACCCAAAAGAAATCTGGAGCACAAAGGGGAATTTGGGAGAGGGAATCTGGGCCAAGAGGAACCTGCAGCACAGAGGGGAATTTGGAAAAGGGAAAGTGGCCCAAGAGAAATCTGGAGCACAGAGGGGAATCTGGAAAAGGGAAAGTGGCCCAAGAGAAATTTGGACTGAATTGCAGCCAATTCCTGCATGTGAAAGGCTCCCTCCACCCTGGGATGAGGTGGGAAAGCAGACAGCACAGCCACATACCTCCAACTCCTCTGGAAAAACAGGCTGGAGTGCAAATCCAACACAAACAAGGGAAGGGTTTGTGCTGGAAGGGGCTCAGGCAGAACGCCAGCACTCAGGAAAACCCAGCCCAGCTGTGCCCAGCGGGGCAGGCTCTGCTCACCACGGCGATGGGCACCTCCTTCGTCACCTCGCGGTGCCAGCCCAGCTCCTCGGCGGGAAGGAAGGAGCGGTGCCGGAGGTTGATGCGCTCCACGGGCAGGATGTGACCCTGGGTCTGGGCAGAGCGGGAATCTCCGGAGCTGCCTCCTCTGCCTGGGGCCCAGGGGAGGCCCAGGAGCCCCACAGCCCTTACCCTGTAGATATCAGTGGCCAGGACCAGCCCCCAGCGCTGCAGCTCCTGGGAAGCCTCCGGGGTGTCGCGGATGCGGCGCAGGAGGCCGGTGAGGCGCTGGTAGTGCTGCTGGGGACTCTGGATCATCTCCCACATCACCTCCTGCAGCAGCAACACCCAGAGGTGAGGGAGGGCTCCCCACAAACCCCGGGCAAAGCTGGGAGCAGGGCACGAGGCAGGCTCTGACCTTCAGCATGCGACTGTTCTTGCGGAGGTCGGAGAGGCCGGTGAGGAAGGTGAGCTCTGGCACGAGCAGCACCATCTTCAGCTGGCGCTGCAGGGAGGGAGAGGCACCGTCAGCATTCCAGGGGCTGGGAATTCCTGCTCTCCCCAGGGGCTGGAGGAGCCCAGAGCAGCCCATGGAGGAGCCCAGAGCAGCCCATGGATCTCTCTGGGCTGGAGGAGCCCAGAGCAGCTCATGGATCTGGATCTCTCTGGGCTGGAGGAGCCCAGAGCAGCTCATGGATCTGGATCTCTCTAGGCTGGAGGAGCCCAGAGCAGCCCATGGATCTCTCTGGGCTGGAGGAGCCCAGAGCAGCTCATGGATCTGGATCTCTCTGGGCTGATAGAGCTCAGAGCAGCCCATGGAGGAGCCCAGAGCAGCCCATGGATCTCTCTGGGCTGGAGGAGCCCAGAGCAGCTCATGGATCTGGATCTCTCTGGGCTGATAGAGCTCAGAGCAGCCCATGGAGGAGCCCAGAGCAGCCCATGGATCTCTCTGAGCTGGAGGAGCCCAGAGCAGCCCATGGATCTCTGTGCCTGGCTCACCATCCCCTCTGGTGTCTGCTTCTCCTTTGGCTTGTGGACGAGCAGGGGCTGGTCCAGTTCCCTGATGGTGATCCCGTGGGTCTTGCTGGAAAAACAGCAGCGTCACACAAGCCTGGAATTTCGGTTTGGAATGGAAACCCAAACCCCCACCATGGGCAGCGAAACCTCCCTGCTCCCACTGCCCCACCTCGGATCAGCCCCTGCCCATTCCCAGGGGATGATGCAGCTCCAGCAGCTGCTCCTCACCTGTAGTACTCCACAAAGGTGATCTCCTGCCCGCTGGCCAGGGTGAAAGTGTCCTTGGGGGTCTTGTCCCAGTCGATGTCATCCACGCGGTAGGTGCGGTTGTTGTAGCGAGTCATGACCACGCTCCCCACCAGCTGCTTGGTGCACTCGTCCTGGAACATCCTCTGGCTCTGGGAGTGGATGGTTTGCCTGGGAAAAGAGGAGAGGCACGGAATGCTCCCCCCCTGTGCCATCCCAAAATTACAACACCCCTGTCCCCAGAGCCTGTGGGGTTTTGCTGCTGCTCTCACATCACGCTCAGCACGGACTCGCTGCGGATGATCTTGTGGATGGCGTCCACCATGAGGAAGAGCCCCCCGTCCTTCCTCCGGATGCTGACGGCGTATCCCGGCCAGATGTGGAGGCTGTGCCCGGAGGGAAAGAGGCCTGGGTTAGCCCAGAGCAGCCAAGGAACCCCCCAAAACTCAGGAATTCATTTCCCAGCTCCCAACTTCTCAGAACAGCCAAAGTCAGGCTGACCTGGGAACACTTCCCAGTTTCCAAGGAAACAGGGATGACTCTGTGGGAAGGAAGGTGCCAGCACCCACCTGTATTTCTGTAGGGTGGTGGCCTGGGCAGGCTCAAAGAAATGCCTCCCAACCAGGCTCATGTTTAAGATTTTCATCACCCTAAGGAAGGAAAAGCAGGAAAAGCAGGGCTGGATGAGGACTGACAGGAAGGAGGAGGAAGGGGCTCTTGTCCCTGGAGCTCAGGGAGGGTCTCTCTGGTCTCTCACCTGCGGAACACCACGTTGTAAAAGGGGATGCAGAGATCCGAGCTGGGCTCCAGAATTTTGGTCATCTGGATGTTGATGAAGATCTCCTCCCTGTCGCTGCTCCTCTGAGCCTTCAGGCTGACCTTTGGCAGGGCCAGAGGGGGTTCCCTCACCCAAAACAGGGGCACCCCCGTACCCCCAAACCGGGGGAGACCCCCCTACCCCTTACCTTGGGGATCTGGATGGGCAGGAAGAGGATGGAGCCGTCAAAGGCCATCACGTCCCCGGTCACGGCGTGCTGCTCCTTCAGCATGGCAAAGCGGGCAGCCTTGCACTCCACCTCGGGGCTGGGGGCACACAGGGCCTTTTCTCCCTCCTCTGCCCCCCCAGACCTCGCTCAGCCCCCCAAAAATCCCCCCTGAAAGCAAAATCCCAGAGCTCTTTGTTGTGCCAGGGCCGCTCCACCTCATGGCAGCCCGGACAGCAGGAGGGACACAGAGGGCTCTGCCTGGGGACACCTCGAGGGGCTGTGGGGGACCCTCGAGGGGCTGTGGGGGACCCCGGCCCCCCATTATCACCTGAAGGTCACGTGGTACTGGTAGACAGCTTCGTTCTGGCAGTGGATCTTCACAAAGTTCAGCCCCACGGGGATGGTGGCTCCCTTGGCCACCGCCTTCGTCCCGTGGGCCCTGCGAGGGACAGGGGGTCAGCAGCGACCCAGCAGCACCTGCACCCCAAAACGGGGGGCTGGGGACGCCACTTACGGCCTGGCAGCAGCTGGGGGGGTCTCCGGGGAGGGCACGGGCGTCGGGCAGGGCTGGGGGCTGGGCGGGCACGGGGCGGGCACGGCTCGTCCAGGCGGGGTGGGCAGCGCGTCCCCTCTGCCTTTCCACAGGATCCTGCGTCCCCAGGGGGGGCTGCGGTGAGCCCTGGCACACGCTGGGGACACACTGGGGGTGGCCTGGCTGCAAACCCCCAGCGACGAGCCCGACCCCCCGAAATGCCCCTATTCCTCCTGCCCCACAGCAGCCTGGGGGCTCAAAACAGCCGAATTTTGGGATAAAGGGATGGGAGGGAAAGGGGGGATGGAGAAAACAGAGGGAATAAAGGAATAGGGCGGATTTACAGGGCAGGGGGACACAGAGGGGAGGAAGGGGGAGAAGGAATGGGGGCAAACAAAGAATGGGACAGGAGGGACAGGAAAGATGGAGTGGGACAAGAAAGATGGAGGGGGACAGGGAAAGACAGAGGGGGACAGGAAAGATGAAGGGGGACAGGAGGGCCCAGAGGAGGGCGGGCACTGAGGGTTTGGGGGTTCAGGCCTGTGGGGGACTCACTGCCCACGCGTGGGGAGCGCCGCCAGCGCTGCCCCCTTGTCCTCCTCCTCCGTCAGCCGCTGCACCGGGCCGGGCGGAGCCGCAGCCTTCGCATCGCCAGCGCCGCCCCGGCCTGCGGGAGCACAGCCGCCGTGAGCGGCGGAGCGGGGCTCGCCGGGCCCCCTGCACCCCCGCACCACCGGCACCTACCGAGGGGCCGCTCCAGAGGCCGCTCATCCAGGCCCAGCCCGCGGAACAGCGCGGGTAACGGCGAGGTGGCGGCTCGGGGCTGGGCGGGGCCGGGCGAGGGCAAGCGAGGGGAGAAGGCGGCGAGGCCGCGGAGCCCCCTGGCCATGGGCACGGCGGGCCCGGGCGGGCGGAAGGGCCGCGGCGGGTCCATGGCAGCCCCGTCGAGGCGCGCCCGGAGCCGCGGCCACGCCGCCGCCGCCGCCCCGAGCGCACGCGCGGCCCCGCCCACGAGCGGACGCGGCGCTGATTGGGCGGCGGCGAGGACACGCCCACAACGCCGCGCGCCCGGGAGGAGGGAAGCGCGCGAGGAAAGGGCGGGGGTGGGAAAGGGGGCGTGGTCAGATGGGAGAATGGGCGGGGTTATGCAAAATAGGGAGCGGGCATGATGGGAGGAAAGGAAGGCGCGATGGGGGGAGAGAAGGGGTGGGAGGGATAATATGGGATTGGGGGTAAAATGGGACGGGCAGGAGAGGGTTAAGATGGAATTCGAGGGGGTAAAATGGGATGGGCAGGAAAGGGTTAAGGTGGAATTGGGAGGGTAAAATGGGATGGGCAGGAGAGGGTTAAAATGGAATTTAAGGGGTAAAATGGGATGGGGTGGGATGGGAAGGATGCAATGGGGCAGAAGGGGGGATGAGATGGAATTGGAGGGGTAAAATGGGACAGGAAGGTGGGGATGGGATGGGATGGGATGGGATGGGATGGGATGGGATGGGATGGGATGGGATGGGATGGGATGGGATGGGATGGGAAGCAGGGGTAATATGGGATGGGGTGTGATGGGGCAGGAGTTGGGGATAATATGGAATTGGGATAATATGGAATTGGGAGGGTAGGGTCAGATGGGGGGGGGGGTGTTTAGGATGGGATGGGGTGGGAGATCAATGTGAGAGGGGCAAGTGCAGGCCCAGCCCTGCCCAGGTGGTCAGTGTCCCCATCCCTGGTGGTCAGGGTCCCCATCCCTGCTCCCTGCCCCGGGGCTGGTGGCATCCAGGGAGCTTTGGCTCCACGATGACAGCCCTGTCACCCCCCAGGACAGGGTGGGGGTCACCCAGTGCCCCCCACCCACTGCAGCCACACCCAGGGACCCCAAGGCCTCGCAGGGCCCAGCAGAGGTGACAGAACCAGACTGACACAGGGGGAAAAAAGGTTTTATTCCAGGTTTTTCCCCCAGGACGCGTGTCCTGCTCCCACCAACGTGTCCACAGAGCTGGGGGACACCCCACAGCCCCCACACACCCCGAGATCCCCGTTTGGCACTGGGGGGAGCCACTGGTGTGGGGGACAGGGCTGGACACCTGCAGGGCTGGAGGGAGCTGGGAGCTGGCTCTGGATCCCTCGGGATCCCAGCACGGGATTGGGATCACCCGCCCCAGCCCCCTGCCCACGTCCCAAAGGCACATCTGGAGGGGCTGAGGGTCCATCCTGGGGTCTGGGGGGCTGAGACCCCCTGGGCTATCGGTGCCGGTGCTCCAGGAGAGCCTCGAAATCCGGGGAGCAGACGAGCTTGTGCCTGACGTGGCCCAGCACCATCATCTCACCCGTGCGGTTGTCCCCGATGCCCACGGACACCAGCTCCTGTTCCAGGGGGCACAAACAGCCCTGAGCCACAGCAACCCCTGGGAGACCCCACTGCTCCCAGAGGGGACCAGCAGGACCCTTCCCCACTGCCAGCATGGCCAAGAGCCAGCACGACCCCCCCAAATGGGGATATTTTGGGGTCAAACTCCCCAGATTGGGTGCCAGTGTCCCTTCCATACCTGTAGGAAGGAGCAGGGGGTGCCCATGGTCACGTCCAGGGTGACCTTGCCCAGCACCAGCTGCACTTTTCCTGACTTTCGGATGAGCAGCTTCCCCACCTGGCCCTCGGGGAGGTCGGCCAGGGTGCAGATGTTCTCTGCCTGCTTGGCCTCCTGCACAGCACAGCAGGATTGGGATCAGCCCATTGGGACTGGGATCAGCCCCTGGGACTGGGATCATCCCACTGGGATTGGGATCATTCCCCCTGGGATTGGGACCATCCCCCCTGGGACTGGGATCAGCCCATTGGGACTGGGATCATCCCCCCTGGGACTGGGATCGGCCCCTGGGACTGGGATCATCCCCCCTGGGACTGGGATCATCCCACTGGGACTGGGATCACTCTATGGGACTGGGATCGGCCCCCCTGGGACTGGGATCATCCCATTGGGACTGGGATCATCCCATTGGGACTGGGATCAGCCCACTGGGACTGGGATCAGCCCCTGGGACTGGGATCATCCCACTGGGACTGGGATCAGCCCCTGGGACTGGGAGCAGCCCCTGGGATTGGGATCAGCCCCTGGGACTGGGATCATCCCACTGGGATTGGGATCATCCCACTGGGACTGGGATCATCCCACTGGGACTGGGATCAGCCCCTGGGACTGGGATCAGCCCCTGGGATTGGGATCAGCCCCTGGGACTGGGATCATCCCACTGGGACTGGGATCAGCCCCTGGGACTGGGATCAGCCCCTGGGATTGGGATCAGCCCCTGGGACTGGGATCAGCCCACTGGGACTGGGATCATCCCACTGGGACTGGGATCAGCGTCTGGGACTGGGATCAGCCCCCCTGGGACTGGGATCACTCTATGGGATTGGGATTATCCTGTGAGATTGGGATTACCCTACAGGACTGGGATCATACCCTGGGACTGGGATCACACTATAGGATTGGGATCACAGCATGGGATTGGGGGTGACAGCACCATGGGATGAGGGGACAGCAAAGGATTGGAGGAGAAAGGCCACCACAGGATGGCGGAACAGTGACACCATGGGATGGAGGGACATGACAGGATGGGGTGCAAAGGACACTATGGGATGGAGGGACATCCCAGGATGGGGTGGAAAGGACACCATGGGATGGAGGGACATGACAAGATGGGGTGGAAAGGACACCATGGGATGGAGGGACATCCTCATGGGCTTGGAGGTGACACCACAGAAGGGCAGGGGATGAGAAAACACCCCCCCCCCCGTGCCCCTACCTGGCTCTTCTCCTGCTTCACCAGCAGCACCTGCCCATCCTCGCTGTGCAGCTCAGCTTTGCTGGGTTTGGAGTCGTGGCTGGGGGGCTGCCCGGGCAGGGTGTCAGGGAGCTGCAGGAACAGCAGCTCCTCCTCCTGGGCCAGGCTCAGCCTCTGCAGCAGCTCAGCCGCCGACACATCCCGTGGGAACCCGGGGGGGCCCTTGGGCTGGGCCGGCTTGGGATCCTCCTCACACGGCTCCTCCTTCACTGCAGAGGGCAGGGGACAGAGGGGACACCCCCAGCTTGTCCCTGCTGTGTGCCCAGCCCTGCCCTGCCCTGCCCAGCCCAGCCCAGTTGTTGGTGATGATGAGGATGAGTATGGCGAGTAGGTAGGTGAAAAATTTTGTAATGTAGGGGTCTGAGGCCATATATCATGTTGCAAATTGTAGGACAGATCATGATGGGAACAGTGCAATGGGGAAGAAGGTAAAGAAGTCTATTTTTAGGCTGGTGGGGATTTTGAAGTTTATAATGAACTTTCATTCCCAGAAGGAGGTGAGGCTTTCTGCTCCAGAATGGATGTAGATTGTTATTGGGATTAGGCTGATTAAGAAGGAGACTTTGACTGTGTTTGTAATTGTGCTGGGAGTGTTTCTGAGGTTGTTGGGTAGAAGAGGAAATAGGATGGGGGTGGAGAGGGTTACTAGGGTTAAGAGTATGAATGTGTTTAGGACCAGTGAGAGGTCCATTACTTTCACTTGGACTTGCACCAAGATGAGTGGCTCCTAAAACCATTGGATTACTATTATCCTTTGAAAGTAAGGAGACTGAGGTTTTATACTAAGATACAAGAGTTAGCAGCTCTTGCTGGTTTTACCTCTCCCAGCCCAGCCCAGCCAAACCCAACCCAACCCAGCCCAGCCCAGCCTGGTCCAGCCCAGCCCAGCCCAACCCAATCCAACCCAGCCTGGCCTAGCCCAACCCAACCCAACCCAATCCAGCCCAGGCCAGGCCAGCCCAGCCCAGCCCCACCTTTCACTGCTGGCGGGTCCAGCTCCATCTTCTCCTCCTTGGCTGCAGGCAGCCATGGCTGTGTGTCCTCCTGCTCTGCCACCTCCTCCTTGAAGAGCCAGCCCGAGTGGGCCAGGGGCAGCTGCACCGGCTTGTTCCGGATGTCGTTCTTCAGCCCCGGGTCATCCAGGAACTGTGGGGACAGGGAGGGAACAATCAGCACCCCTGGGTAGCACAGGGGACACTCAGCACTGCCCTGTTGGCACAGGGGACACTCAGCACTGCCCTGGTGACACAAGGGACACTCAGCATTCCCGGGGACACAGGGGACACTCAGGATTATCCCAGAGGCAGAGGGGACACTCAGCATTGCCCTGGTGACACAAGAGACACTCAGCATTGCCCTAGGGGCACAAGAGACACTCAGCACCACTGCAGGGACACAAGGGACACTCAACACCCCTTGGTGGCACAGGGGACACTCAGCACTGCCCTGTTGGCACAGGGGACACTCAGCACCACTGCAGGGACACCAGGGACACTCAGCATTGCCCTGGTGACACAAGGGACACTCAGCATTGCCCTAGGGGAACAGGAGAGACTCAGCACCACTGCAGGGACACAAGGGACACTCAGCACACCCCAGTGGCACAGGGGACACTCAACATTGCCCCGTTGGCACAGGGGACACTCAGCATTGCCCCTGTTGGCACAGGAGACACTCAGCACACCCCAGTGGCACAGGGGACACTCAGCACTGCCCCAGTGACTCAAGGGACACTCAGCACCACTGCAGGGACACAAGGGACACTCAGCACTGCCCTGGTGGCACAGGGGACACTCAGCACTGCCCTGTTGGCACAGGGGACACTCAGCACCCCCCAGTGGCACCAAAGCCACCCCTTCCATGCCCACTGACATCGTCCTTCTGCAGCATCCTCAGGATCTGCTTGGTCTCCTCGTCCGTCTCCCTCTTCTCCTTCTTGATGTTGATGATGTGGGAAGGGCCGAAGTCGGACACGTCCACGCTCCTGTCCCAGGAGCCTGCTGGGGACACAGGAGCAGCCCGGGGTCACCCCAAGGTGGGAACTCCCCAAAAACACCCAGAGGGGAGCTCCCCTTACCTTTCTTCTTCATCATTTCAGCAGGGCCCTGCTCGAAGATGGAGTGGGACTGGATGACCTCGGGCCGGTTCCGGCCCCGGCCGTGCCCGTCCCGCTGCCGCTCCCGCTCCTTCTTCTCCTTCTTCACCACCACATCCTCCCGGGGCCTGGGGCAGAGCGGGCACAGAACCCCCACATCAGTCCCAAATCAGCCCCACATCACCCCCAGCCCTGCCCCTGCCAGGACATGGGGCCTGGGGGCAGAGCGGGCACAGAACCCCCACATCAGCCCCACATCAACCCCACATAACCCACTGCCCCTTCCTCCTGCCCCTGCCAGGAAACAGGGCCTGAGGGCAGAGCAGGCACATCAGCCCCACATTATCCTTCACATCAGCCCCACATCACCCCCAGCCCTGCCCCTGCCAGGACACAGGGCCTGGGGGCAGAGTGGGCACAGCACCTCCACATTAGCCCCACATCACCCCCAGCCCTGCCCCTGGCAGGAAACAGGGCCTGGGGGCATAGTGGGCACATCAACCCACATCACATCACCCCAATATCAGCCCCCCATCAACCCCAGCCCTGCCCCTGCCCCTTCCCCCTGCCAGGACACAGGGCCTGGGGCAGAGTGGGCACATCAGCCCCACATCACATCACCCCAATATCAGCCCCACATCACCCCCAGCCCTGTCCCCTGCCCCTGTCCCTTGCCCCTACCCCCTGCCCTCAGCCCTGCCTGCTGCCCCCAGCCCAGCCCCTGCCCCTGGCAGGACACAGGGCCTGGGGCAGAGCGGGCACATCAGCCCCACATCACCCCCACATCACCCCCATATCGCCCCCATATCGCCCCCACATCACCCCCATATCGCCCCCACATTAGCCCCACATCACCCCCACATTGCCCCCACATCACCCCCATATCAGCCCCACATCACCCCCATATCACCCCCATATCAGCCCCATATTGCCCCCAGCCCTGCCCCCTGTCCCCTGCCAGGACATGGGGCCTGGGGAAGAGATTTCTACACATCACCCAGAGATACTGGTGTTAGGATATTTGGGATATTGGTGTGGATATTTAGGATATTTATATGGACTTCTGAGAATTTCCATGGATAGCTGAGATATTTATATGAATGTTTGGGATATTTATATGGATATCTGAGAATTCCCATGGGTATTTGGGGTATTTCCATGGGTCAGTGGGATCCCTCTCACTCCTCCCTTCTCCAGACCAACCAGCCCCACCTCCCACAGTCCCTCCCCTCACAGAGATGCTCCAGAGCCCAAACCACCCCTGTTCCCCCCACGTCACCCAGGGGCACCACTCACTCCTCCTTGATCTTCCTGCTGATGATGTTGGGGGTGAAAGTTTTCTGTGGGGAAAAACAGAGGGAAAAAATCATCCCTAAATCCCTCAGGCTGTCACAGCCACCCCAGAGCCACTCTGGGGACACGGGGTGTGAGGTGTGAAATGTGTCACCACATTTCTCCTCACAGAGAAAGCAAGGCACAATTCTTGCCAAGAATATTTCTGGGTTTCACATTCTCTGAACCTCAGAGAAAGGAAAAACAATTCTTATCTCATTTGCTGTGCCCGTGTTTGTGCAAAAAGTAAAATACAACATAAAAATGGTTCCCCCAAAGTGATGGTGTTTTATTGCCTTGGCCTATCAGGGCCAAGTGTGTGTGTGAGGTGGGACTGTCAGCTAAAAGTCATGAGAATCTGTGCAGGTGTGTGCAAAGTTAAAATACTTAGCAAATCCGGTTTAGATGTAATAATATAATATAATATAATATAATATAATATAATATAATATAATATAATATAATATAATATAATATTATATTATAGTAATCGTAATAGTAATTATATAATATTATATAATAGTAGATTATATTATAATATAGTATATTAATAATAAATATAGTAAGAAACAATATTATACAATATACTATAAAATACTATACTATAATATAATATAATTAATATAATATACTATAATATAATATAATATAGCATAATAAAATGATTATAATAAAATAAAATAAAATAAAACCATAAAATAGAATAGAATATAAATAAATATAGTATGATATAATATACTATAATCTAATATACTATAACATAATATTATATTATATTTTAGTATATTATATTAACAACAGATATAGCACAATATAATATAATATAATTAATACAGTATGACATTATATTTATATTACATTACATTATACTGTATTATACTATATATTATATTATATTATTAATATAATTAAACAATTAAATTAATAAAATTAATTAAATTAATTAGCTAATAAAAATTAATATCATTAAATTAATTCGCCTTCTAATATCAATGAATTTCTCCTCATCATCTCTCCTGCCACGGGGGTGACCCGATTGGATACTGGGTGACCCCAATTTGGGAAAGGGGGGCGGGGTCTCACCTTTTTGACGCCGCCCAGGGTGAGGTCTCGGGAGCGGATGGAGGGCAGGCGGCCCGGGCTCAGGGGGGGCGCGGGGGGGCGCCTGCCCAGCACCCCCCGGGCCGCCCCCGGCCGGAGGCTGCCCGGGGAGCCCGAGCTGCCAGAGCCCCCTCGGCCATCCTGCGGGGAGAGGCCACGCTCAGGGGGATGAACCCCAAACTGGGCTCGGAAATGCACCCAGCACAGGAATGAACCCCAAATGGGCTCGGAAATGCACCCAGCACAGGAATGAACCCCAAACTGGGCTCGGAAATGCACCCAGCACAGGAATGAACCCCAAATGGGCTCGGAAATACACCCACCACAGTAATGAACCCCCAAATGGGCTCGGAAATGCACCCAGCACAGGAATGAACCCCAAACTGGGCTCGGAAATACACACACCGCAGTAATGAACCCCCAAATGGGCTCAGAACTGCGCCCACCACAGTAAAGAACCCCAAATGGGCTCAGAATTGCACCCACCATAGTAATGAACCCCCAAATGGGCTCAGAACTGCACCCACCCCAGTAATGAACCCCCAAATGGGCTCAGAACTGCACCCACCACAGGAATGAACCCCCAAATGGGCTCAGAACTGCACCCACCACAGGAATGAACCCCCAAATGGGCTCAGAACTGCACCCACCACAGGAATGAACCCCCAAATGGGCTCAGAACTGCACCCACCACAGTAATGAACCCCCAAATGGGCTCAGAACTGCACCCACCCCAGTAATGAACCCCAAATGGGCTCAGAACTGCACCCACCCCAATGGTGAACCCCCAAATGGGCTCAGAACTGCACCCACCCCAACGGTGAATCCCCTGCACCCCCAAACAAGATCCCCGTGACCCAGGGCGGTTGTGTTCCCCCCGCATCCCCCAGGACCCCCTTGTGCTCCCTCCCCAGGGGTCTCCATCCACCCATACACCCCAAACAGGACCCCCTTGTGCCCCCTCCCCAGCTTTCCCAGTCCCCACCCCTCCCCTGCTCCCTCTCCCAAAGGCTCTCAGTCCCTCCCTTTCTCCCCAGCACCCCCTTGTCCCCCCTCCCCCAGGGGTTCAGCCCCCCCAAACCCCCTCGCAGCCCCCTCCTCACGGGTCCTCACGGGTCTCACCCTCCCAGGGCCGCCCTGCGCCCCCTCCCCAGGTTTCCCAGCCCCTCCATACACCCCAAACAGGACCCCCTTGCGCCCCCTCTCCAGGGATCTCAGCCCCCTCCTCACGGGCCTCACCCCCCCATGGCCGCCCTGCGCCCCCTCCCCAGGGATCTCAGCCCCCTCCCTGCCCCCCTTCACCCCCTCTCACCCCTCTCCCCAACATTCCCACCCCCTCATACACCCCCAAACAGGGCCCCCTCTCCCCTCGCTCCCCAGGAGTCTCATCCCCCTCCTCGCACCCCTCAGGACCCCCCCGACCCCCCCAAATTTCCCCCCCCTCCCCCGCCACGCCGCCCCTCACCCTGCCCGGGCAGCCACGGGCTCGCCGCCCACACTGCGCATGCGTCACGCACGGCGCGCCCTTCCTGGCGCGACGCTGCCGCCGCCATCTTTGCTGAGGGCACGGCGGGCTTGGCAATGAGCCGCCATCTTTGTGGTTGGCATTGCCCATCCCTATGTGAGGGCGGTGGCGCCATCTTTGTGACGGGCAGTGCCCGGCTCTCCAGACCGGGCACCGGGGGCAGCGCTGGGGGGGACATTTTTGGGGGGTCACTCAGCCCTTTATTTAACGCCCTCACGGGAGTCCTGCAGTGCGACCACCCCCTCAGGGTCCTCTGCAGCCCCACGGCCCGCCGGCACCGCCACAGAGAGGGTTCATGCGTGGGCACCCCCTCGCAGAAATTTGGGGAACAATGAGGTTTTTGGGGTGCTCCCCCACCCCCCCACCCGCAAAAAGCTTTGTCCTCCAAGAAGGGTGTTTATCACGTGCAAAACAAAAAGTCCGTCCGTCCGTCCGCCGCCCTTGGGCTCTGCACCCCCATTCCGCGGGGGTCCTGTGTGGGTACCAGCATTCCCACGCACCTCCTCCGTCCTCCATCCCATTTTTGGGGCCGGGGGGGAACTGTCCCGGTTGTGCCGTTTGCGGGACAATTGGGACCACCCCCTCCCGGCCCCAAAAATGGGGGGAACAGGCAGAACCTGCCCACCACCCACCCCCAATCTGCACCCACATCCCACTCTGCCTCCATCACCTGACGCCGCACGCATCCCTCCATGCCATTGGCAGAACCGGGAGGTTTTTCCTTCCTCCCCCTTCTCTCCCAGCTCCTTGGATATCTATTTTTCCCCTTTTTTTTTTTTTTTTTTTTTCTCTCCTCTCCCTCCTCTGGAGGGTGTTTGCTATTTCCGAGCTGGCTGGGAGGATCCCAGTCGCATCAGCCGCAGGCAGCGACGCGGCATCGCCGGGTACCACCTCGGTCCCTCCGGCATCCTCCGTCCTTCCCGCTTGGATCAGCCCCGCCGGGGCTCTCTGTCCTGCCCTGCCGCTGCACCGGCACCCCCGCGCCTCCCGGCAGCCCCCCGGCACGGCCAGGTAAGGGCCTCACCGGCACGGCCACGCCGGAGCGGCCACCGAGCCCCGGTGGCGTTGGGGGCGACGTGCCCGTGGCACGGCCGGGGGATGCTCGGAGGGCAGGGGGACGCGGCGGGCACGGCGTCCCGAGGGCTCTTAGGGGACACGGTGACACGATCCAGCTGGCACAATCCCGGTGCGGAGTTCCTGCGCCACCGCCGGGCACGGGGACGGACGGGGCAGCGAGGTGGCACCGTGTCCCCGGAGCGGTGACCTTCCGCCGTGCCCGAGGGCTCTGCCGGGGGGTGACAGCGGCTTTGGGGCGCAGAGGGGGGGGACACGTGGCCGTGGGTGGCCGTGGGTGCCGAGTGACGGGGGACACGCGCGGCGTGGGTGGCCGTGGGCACACGGGGGGGCGGTGGCACGTTGGCACCGAAGGCTGGGGGGGCACCCTCGCCTCCAGCCCCCCGTTCCCGTGGCACGGCTGTGACCCCTTGTCCCCCCTCCGCGGGCATCGCCCACCCCCAGAGCGCCTTCCTGGGGGCGCAGGGAAACTGAGGCACGGGCTGGGGCAAAGGCGGATCCAGCTTTTCCAGTGCCTGCGTCCAACCCTCCCCTCTCCCAGCAACTCCCTCGGCTCTCCCCTTGTTTTTCTTTCCCCACCCGGTGTTGAGCAAACCCCGAAACGCCCGCTGGCGTCGCGCCGGGGCCTCGCGGCACCCGGGGGAGCGGCCGGGGCCCCCGCACCCGACCGGGCTTGTTCCCGGCGTCCCGCTGCCTGCTCCTGCCTGCGCTGCCTATTCCTGGCTCCCGGCCGCTGTTCCACCCCGGTGCCATCTGCTCCGCCGCGGGCGGCCTTGGCAGCGCCGGCGTGGGCAGCCAGAGGGGGCTCGGCACCCCCAAAAGCCCGCGCTGTGCCCCCCGCAGGAGCTCAGCCCCTCCGGCCATGGAGCTGCTGTCCACCCCCAAAAACATCGAGATCAACAACATCACCTGCGATTCCTTCCGCATCTCCTGGGCTATGGAGAAGGGGGACCTGGAGAGGGTCACCCACTACTTCATCGACCTCAACAAGAAGGAGAACAAGAATTCCAACAAGTTCAAGCACCGGGTGAGCCGGGGGAGGACGCGGGACCCCCTGCCCGGGGAGAGGAGACGGGGTTGGCAGGGAGGAGCCGGCTCTTAGCCCTCTCTAGCGCTGAATTTGGGTCATTCCCGTCACGGGACACGCTGGCGGAGGGGACTGGGACGGGGATCGGGGGGTGACGGACCCCGCTGAGCCCCCGCGGGGGAGCTGAGCTGCTCCTGCTCCCCTCCCCGTGCTGCGAGTCACTAATTCGGGCCGTTTTTAGCAGCGCCGTTGCCACGGTGATGCTATTTAATGTTTAACATTTTTTTTTTCTCTCCTCCCCAATAATAAGGGGTGGGGGGGGGGTGGGGGGTGGGATATTTTTTTTCCCCTCTATCTCCCGACTTCAGCATCCGCCGTTGCCACAGAAACGGCTCTGCACTGCGGAGCTGCTCCGTGGCCTCTTGACACCGCGAGATGCCACCGGCAGCGGGGGGGACCCCGAGACCACCCCCGCCTGGGGGACCCTGTGTCCCCATGGCAGCAGGGACATCTTTGGGGACACGGGCGGGGCAGCGCTGCGGGGCCAGAGCGGGGGGGGGCGGCCCGAGACGCGTCCCACGGTGTTTTGGGGGGGTCTCCGTGGATATTTCGGGGTGTGCGGTAGCCGGCAGCACCCGGGCGTGCGGGAGGATGCTGTCCCGCCTGACCCTCGCCGCTCGGCACAGGATGTCCCCACCAAGCTGGTGGCCAAGGCGGTGCCGCTGCCCATGACGGTGCGGGGCCACTGGTTCCTGAGCCCCCGCACCGAGTACAGCGTGGCCGTGCAGACCGCGGTCAAGCAGAGCGACGGCGAGTACCTGGTGTCCGGCTGGAGCGAGACCGTGGAGTTCTGCACCGGGGGTGAGCGGGGCCGGCAGGGACGGTGGGGGCGTCCCCGGGAGCCGGAGGGAGGATGGGGGCGATGCCAGGAGCCCGGAGCTGGGGGAGGACGGGGGCGATGCTGGGAGCCAGGAGGGAGGACGGGATTGATGCTCCTGGAATCGGGAGCTGGGCCGGGGATGGGGACGGTGCCGGGAGCTGGGAGGATGAGGAGGAAGGGGCACAGCTCAGGGTTGGGAGCCAGGAGGGAGGACGGGGTTGATGCCTGGAGCTGAGAGATGGAAGGGGGAAGAGGGCAATGCCTGGAGCTGAGGAGGAGGATGGAGATGGTGCCTGGAGCTGGGGGCAAGGGGGGAACAGGGGAGATTCCAGGAGCTGGGAGGGAGAACAGGGGAGAACCGAAGAGCTGGGAGGGAAAGGGGGTCAGTGCTGGGAGCAGGGAGGGAGGAAAGAGGAGATGCCAGGAGCTGGGAGATAGAAGGGGAAAGAGGACAATGCCTGGAGCTGAGAGGGAAGACGGGGATGATGCCTGGAGCTGGAGCAGGAGGGAGAACAGGGGTGACCTCAGTAGCTGAGAGCAAGAGGGGATCAGAGCTGGGAGCACGGAGGGAGAACAGGGGAGATTCCAGGAGCTGGGAGGGAGAACAGGGGTGACCCCAGGAGCTGGGAGCAAGAGGGGGTCAGAGCTGGAGCCACGGGGGAGGTCGGTCGGGGATGATGTCGGTAGCCACGAGCCGGGAGAGAGGAAGGGGGAAATGCTGGGAGCTGGGAGCCCGGAGGAGGACGGGGGCGATGCCGGGAGCTGGCACAAGCCGGGCCGGTTGGAGCGGCAGCTGATGAGTGGGAGGCAGGAGGTGCGGGGAGCTGCGGGCAGGGATGGGCTGCTGGAGGGGGATGGAGACGCCCTGATGTCCCCGTGCCTGTCCCCAGACTACGCCAAGGAGCACCTAGCCCAGCTGCAGGAGAAAGCGGAGCTGATCGCCGGCCGCATGCTGCGCTTCTCCGTCTTCTACCGCAACCAGCACAAGGAGTATTTCCAGCACGTCAGGTACCCCCAGCCCCGTTCCCCACGCTCCCCGCTCGCCGAGCGCATTCCCTGACCCTGCCTGTGCCTGTCTGTGTGTCCCTCCTCCTCCTCCTCGTGGCAGGATGCACTGCGGGAACGTGATGAAGCCGTCGCTGAAGGACAACAGCGGGAGCCACGGCTCGCCCACCAGCGGGATGCTGCACGGCATCTTCTTCAGCTGCAACACCGAGTTCAACACCGGGCAGCCCCCGCAGGACTCGCCCTACGGCCGGTACCGCTTCCAAATCCCGGCCCAGCGCCTCTTCAACCCCAACACCAACCTCTACTTCGCGGACTTCTACTGCATGTACACCGCCTACCACTACGTCGTGCTGGTCCTGGCGCCCAAGGGCTCCTCCGGGGATCTCTTCTGCCGGGAGCGCCTTCCCCAGCTGGACATTTCCTCCAACAAGTTCCTGACGTGCTGCGTGGAGGAGGGCGAGCTGGTGTACCGCCACGCCAGGACAGCATCCTGGAGGTCATTTACACGGAGCCGGTGGACCTGAGCCTCGGCGTGCTGGGGGAGATCAGCGGCCACCAGCTCATGAGCCTCTCCACCGCCAACGCCAAAAAGGACCCCAGCTGCAAGACGTGCAACATCAGCGTGGGGCGTTAAGGGGCCCAGGCGGGCAGGGCCGGGCAGGGCGACGGGCGCTGCCCGCGGGGGCTTCTCCCACGGACGCCGGTGGGTGGAGGACACGGGTGGGCTCGGGGGAGCCGGGCGGTGCCCCCAGGAAGGAGCCGGCGGGACGCTGGTTCGGCGAGGAGGCAGAGCCCGCGCCGCTGTGCGCCCCGAGGGAGGAAGCCTTCATCTCCTGGACCGGCCGAGCAGCAGCGTCCTCGCTGGCGTGAGCCCCGCGCTCTGCCCTGCTCCGGGACCCCCCTTCCCCTCCGGCGTCCCCCGCGTCCCCCCGCCCCAGGTTCACGCAGCTCCCAGGGAGCCCCGGCCCTGCCAGCCGGGACTGGGGCTCCCCGGCCACTCCAGGGGGTTCAGGGAGATATCGGAAGCACCCCCCGGTTTTGAACCGCTCCCGGGGGACGGGGGGTGCTCAGACACCGCGGTGGCGTGGGGGACCCCGGGCGTGCCCCCCGTGTCCCGTCCCTCTCTGCTCTGCCGTCCTGCACCGCCCGAGTCCCCGGCCCCGCGGCCCCGGAGGCAGCCGGAGGAGCCGGGGAAGGGGAGAACGGATCTGAAGCCCCTCCCTCCCCGTGCCCCCCAACCCGCCGCCCCCCGCATGAGCCGTCGGCAGCATGGCGCTTGCGTGCGGCCCCCCCGGGGTGCCCGCCCCCCGTCTCTGTGTCCCCCCTGCACGCTCTACAACAACCGGCTCCCCCTCCCCGAGCATCCCTGTGCTGTGCTGGAGGTGTTTCAATAAACTCTGTGCGGTCGCCACCGGCCGTGTCACGCTCCTCTGTCCCCTCGGGACCCCAAGAAGTGGCTCAGAACCCCCCCCCTACTCCCACCGATCCGGGGATCTGGGACTGGGAGGGGACAAGGTGGCCCTGGCCAGCTCTGAGAAAAGTCCAGGTTGGAAGGGCCTTCCTGGAGATCACCAGGTCCATCCCACCTGCCCGGGCAGGGCCACCTGGCTCAGGTGACACAGGAGCACGTTTGGAATGCGGCCAGAGAGGGAGACTCCACCCTTCCCTGGGGCTGTCCCAGTGCTCTGCCACCCTCCTTGGAAAGAAGTTCTTCCTCACGTTGAGGTGGAACTCATGTTTTTGTTTATGGCCGTTGCTCCTCATCCTGTCACTGAAAAGTTCCCCGAGCTCCTCACCCCACAGAGACTGAAACCCCCTCAGGATGAACCCCCCGGTGCCCATCCCGGTTCTGCCCACGGAGCATGCCAGGGCTGGCACACAGAGGGAACAGGAGCCTCCCCGTGGCAGCAGCAGCAGCAGCGAGCAGGGGCTGCAGGAGGGGTCGAGGCACGCGGTGGGCGCGGGGGCCGTGGCACAGCCCACCCTCCATCTGCCACCGCCACCGCCAGCATGGGCACGCGCTGGAGCACGCGGTGGGCACAGCACGCGGCACCCACCCACCCACCCACCCACCCCACAGCGGGTGCTGCCTCAGAGACACCTCAAAATAAAGGTGTGGGGGACAGAACCCACCTGCAGAGTCCTGGGGGGCTCCGAGCCCACCGCCCTCTCCAGGACCCGCTGTCACCAGCAGTAGGTCTGGCTGCTCCTTGGCTGGAATTCCTGGCTCTGCTCCATCAGAACCCCCAAGGATGAGCTCCTCCCTTGGGATTGGGGTCTGTGCAGGGTCCTGGCTGCTTCCCCCCCCAGTCCAGCCCCATTTTGGGTGCTGTTCTGCTGGGCTGGAAGCAAAGAGGCCGCGGCTGCCCCCGCTCCAAGTACAAGGGTATTTATTTCATGGGTACAAGAGAGAGACAGCACCTTGTGTGTGTTGGGCTCTTCCGGTTACTGGTTTGTACATTCAGAGCTTTGGCCGGGGCAGGGGAGGGCAGCGGGTCCTGCTCGGCCCCCCCAGC